GTGGACTATGAGAAAGCCTTCGAATCTGTCTAAATTTGGGCGGTACTCCAGACCTAGCGTTGACAAATTAACTGTCGGTATACCGATGTTCTGAGGTGTTTGAATAACAAGGCCACGATGTCAACTGTCAACTGCAGAAAGGTGTTAGAAGGGTGATGTTATATCCCCGAAGATGTTTCCAATCTTCTAAACTGGGTACAACGAGATATTAACATCAATGGCGAATGCATCATCCATCGAATCGCTGGATGACTTTGGTACTATGCTCAATGACTGTCGCTCCCAACGGGTGGGCCTTAAGATAAATATGGACAAGACGAAGATCATGTCTATTGTCCACGTCACGCCTATACCGGTTGTTGTTGGGACCACTGTGCTCGAAGTTGTTGACGTACATTTACCTAAGACGTTAGTCCAGTTAGGTAAGACCAACTTTGAAGCAGCGGTCCATCGGCGAATTCAACTTTGATGGGTAGCGTTCGGAAAACTTCGGCATATCTTCTCATCCAATATCCTTCAATGTATGAAGATAAAAGTCTTCAATCAATGTGTGTGATGACCTGCGGAACGAAGACTTGGTCCTTCATTGCTGGCCGTAAGAGGAAGCTCAAAGTCGTTAAGCGAGCTATGAAGCGGGCTATGCTCGGTATTTCTCTGCATGATAGAGTTCGCAACGAAGACATCCGCAGTAGAACAAAGGTAGCCGACATAGCTCAAAAGATTAGCAAGCTGAAGTGGCGCTCGTCGGGGGATCCCTATGTTCAGCAGTGGACTCAAACAAGCCGAAATTATGATGATGATACTAAAATCGGCACTAACAGTATTCTATACTAAAATTTAAATATTAGTAATGGTTAGCTAGAATTTTTTAACTGCGGATTATATTTGATTTAAGTATGATTTGTAATGACTTCAGCGCTAGGCATCTGCTTTTCTCACAATTGATAAATATCGACCCATTCATATCGTGTGCTTGAGGTACGAACTCTACTTTAAGAGTGTTGACTATGGGCATTGCCATTTTAAAGATATAATAATCAGTGGGATGTGATCCAATCCGCAATGGCGGTGCGTGCACTGTGAATTCCCGACACTCCCTGTTGTAGTATTCTCTGCAAAGCAGAAGCACAAAAATATAATAAGACTACATTTTATTTAAATTGTAAACTGTGCGAAATTTGTACCGCTCATGTATTTTTTTGGCCAAATAAAAATAATTGTTACAGGTCATTATTTGACTAGTTCTTTTATATAATATTCAAGTGCGCGATGCATCACTGAAATTAATGTTTGCAGCATGAGTGAAGTCTACGTAACTCGCGTAGAGAAGTCTACATAACGTGTTTCGTTCAGAGACAATGCGAGCGACAAGTTGTTTGTGCAAAAATGCGTAGAAAGTGAGAGTTACGGTGACGTGCCGAGTGACGAGGGGCCGAGGTTGGTAAACTATTTGGAGAAGCGATGACGTGCTCTGGAGACATTGCATTGGACGATCCATTAACTTTCTGCTAAGCTGCACACTTCACTTGGCCCAATCGAATTATATGGGAAGACGTTACAGAGATTTTTTACTGGAATTGGCTTAGACAAGTATTTATATTAGTACGATGATACATCGCGGGCGTAGGAACTCGTGGTAACAATAAAGTTATTGAATTAAAAACACCGTTATTATTAGGAAAATATTATTTATTAAAATTTGCAGAAAAAAGAGTTTCGTCTTAATCCCAGAGAAAAAACTATATACAAATTTAAATGAAATATTGTTCACTCAATATCAAAATATTGAGTAAATATAAAGAGAAACATAATTAGGAGTGATGTTTATATTCTGATACTTGCATTCCAAGCGTCAGTAAAGTTATTGAATGAATGAATATTTATTTAGTTTCAACAAAGTTATGTTAACAATTAAAAGTATATTTAAGACATGGAACCAAATCGGTATGTACTCGGTAAGATTTACCAATTTTCAGTACCAATTGGTTATTGCACTTAAATTTTAACTATGTTATATCAAATATTTGTATGATTTACTTACCAATATCTTTTTAATGAAAGTATTTGAACGGAAATCGTGTAATCATAGTTGCCGAAGACACATCACATGTTCAATTGATATTTGCCAGTAAAGTGTCAATTAATGGGGCTATTTCGCGGCCTTTCTCTCCTTTATTACTCACACATGTTAATTAGTCTAATGAAAACGAATCAATACGAAGGGGTACGTAGCACATGGGAATGTGTTTATACGTCTGCTGAAAACGAAAGCATACTACAAGCTAGAATAATGACTAAAATGATGACACAATGACCGAAATAAAGAACAAAAGAGTAAATTAAAAAAAATATTTATATGTATGTAAGAAATGGGTTTGAGCTCGGAAACGCATTTTCTCGTATTTTATGTTTATTCGACTCATTCTACTAATTGTCTAATAATTTACCTCTTAAGTCTGTAACTATTCTGTAATCGTCATTCACTCTACTCCTTCACATAATTATATCGTTCTATTTTCTTTACTCGTCAACCTTCCGGTCTATATTAAATCTGACGTTCCAATTATTATTTTTTGAGCCGCGTAACACATGTGGCAATGCGGCATGATCCAAACAAGAAACATGACATTTAAATGAATTGACGTCATGGCTTGCTAAACAATGGGTTCACGAGTTCAATCTTCGCAAGTTAGTTACGAATTAGTTCTGCACTACAATTGTTGTTAATGTGTCATATTCCAGCGACCGCGAACAATACAAAGCTTTTTTCTTTCGCAATTTGTGTTTTTTTTAATCAATTAAATTTCAGACTGCTTGCCATTTTTCTCGTTAATATTGTAAGAGTGTCATTTAGTATCAACGGTCTCTTAAAGTATGTTATTGTAGTCCATGTACGACGGTAATCACTTACCGTCAGGTAGACTGGCTCACCGTTTACTGTCAACTCTAAAAAAGATGCTCACCAAGTTTTCCAGGGTACAATTTAATTGGTACTCGTTAAGCTTATATATTTTTAAAACTATAATTATGTTTTTTTTTAAAGTTTCAGACTGTTTGTCTTAATATTGTAAGAGTATATTATTTCTGGTGTTAATATTGTTGGGTATAATTAAATAATTCATTAAACTAGATTACGGTAATTCGTTGCCAAAAAAATAAGTTACATAAAAACGATTTCTAAAGTATGTCTTAAAGACAAAATGCTAGAAGGTACCAGTTTTGTCCAATTAAATATTCAAAAGGAACTCGCAGATTAATTAGGCTTTCCGAATAATTAGTGTCAAAGAAAAAAAAACGAGGTCAAATGTTTGTTTGTGCACAAATGAGCGACCCACTTGGGGAGGCGTACTCGTAGAATCGGTCGAGAGAGGAAGGAGGATTGCAGCCGGTAATAGTGCGTCTGCAGAATGAATGGACCTCGTTAGCAGCTCTTGTTAGTCAAGACGCTGTATGAGAGCAACAACAATTACGGATCGACTTAGGTCGCATTCACACCGTGTTCCAGAATTGATTTTTTAATATTTTAATAACGCTTTTTTAACGGTATGTAGCCCTTGGGCTTTAATCTTTTATGAAACACAAATGTATGGTCGCAAAAGAACCTATTATTTATTTAAATACTTTTTGTGCGTTTATGGTGTACTTGTATGTAACACAGTGTTTTGGCTGCTTCATTTTGCGAGATAATTTGACAGATTATCAGACAGAGACGTATGTAGTTTTGTGGATGCAGTTACTTGGGAATAAACAAGACGTGATTAGTTAAGCCATTAGTCGCCTCCTACAACGCTAACGTGGAGCTAACGTCACCTCCGCACGATAGAAACAATATGCGCTATTGGCACGTCGCCGGGAGAACACAGTTTCCCTTTACTGTAGTGTCATTAATCTATATCCCAGGTATTATTTAAAAAAAATTAACTAATTACATTACGTTACTGCTTAAAGTTATCAACCAGGTTGAGCTTTTTACCGTTTACGGCTGGATCGTCACTTACCATTTGGTGGGATAGCAGTCACTTCACCAAAAACAACACGTTATACGTCGATAGGTATTACTGTGATTAATTAATGGTAGCGTTGCATGGTACTAGCTAAAAACGCAGTGCTAGTAATAATGTTTGCTAAACCTTTTCGTAACAAAATGTCAATCAATATTTTCCAGTTTAAGTTGAAAAGGCTCAGATTAAACTTATACTATGGTGTTCTGTGAATACGCCTTTGGAAGTGTCTCACTAGAGCTGCCATGAATAATAACGACACGGGAAATCATTGTAAAGATTATAGGGCAGGCGTTAGAGCGTATTTAGAAATTCTAAGTAAGTGTGTCAGTATGTTGTATCAGTTGTATGGCAGTTTTATATACGCTTTAGGTTTATTTTCAATGTTGCATTCACTCAGTAACAAACATACAACGCAATTGATAAATTTCGTTAACCTTTTAGCAATTAAGGCTCATTTCTAACGCCCTAAATGACAAAGATGACACATTGACCCGAGATTGACAGGTTTACAAAAGTCGCATGTTCAGTATAAGCTGAGTACTGAAATATTAGTTTAATAATTGAAAAGGAATTTACGTCAAAACTACTTTATACTTATTTTACGAGGTTAGGAATTTAGGATATTAAGTTGAATTTTATTCATGCACACTTCTTGGTTGCAAAGACTTCAATAAAAGTTTCTACATTATGAACATACAACGTAAACAAACAATCTAGTCATCTCAAAATGACGCTTTGCAGGTTATAAACCTAATATGCTTTTTAACTATGTTAAGACTGCATGTAGCAACGGCAAATGGATTATAATGTAATTCTCAATGTAGGTGGCTTCTTGCATGTAAAACCACGACAGTTTCTTGTTAACGTCATAAATTAATCTTTTCATATCGATTAAAACTACGTAGTTGAGTCCTCAAGTAATCCTCATTACAATTAGAGTAATAAGCAACATTCCATTGTTGTAGACAGATAAGTTGATAGAGTCTGCGTCGATCGATGGTTATGTTACGACAGTGTATTAACTTTCATGTGAGCAATGTTCGGAGGAAAGTGGACCGCGCGGCTCTTGGTCAGTTCCGTAAGAGCGAGGATGAACGCCCACTGAGCTATTCGGAGCATCAACAGATATATGATAAGTTAAAAAATCTCTTACGTCTTTCAAACCTTCTCTCAAAGCTTTTCTTAGTTTCAAATGGACTGATGAAGATTAGTCGCCATTAGCTGAGCACACAATTGAGGCAATGATTTGTAGAAATTAGGAAGTCACAAAACTTCAGGTACCCGCCACTAAGCCACTCAAATTCAAACCTGCGACTGGACCAGCCACTACACTCCCCTATGTTAAAGTTAATTAAAAAGCCAGTAATTTGTCATGTAATTTCCAAAATACACGATTTACCAAAAAAAAAAAAAAAAAACAAACTGAGCAAAGTTTACAATGTATTTTACTTACGTACATATGTATACGTGGCACGTAAGTAAAATACACTGTGATAAAATTTTGCAATTAAAGATGGAAGTACAAAAAAATCCATGGATGTCATGAATAATCATGAACTCCTACAATAAATATAATGTGTTTAAGGAATATTTAATTTTTAATAGAACACTCAAAACTAAATTTAATTACCAAAGGCGCCTTTTTTCAATATTAAATGTTAAATGTTATTTTAGAAAGTGTGTTTGCTGTAAAGAAAGTACATTACATTTCTAAAAATCCAAGTATGTCGACCACTTAGTTTAGTTTCGACCACTTAAAAGGTGCGTATTCGAATCCAAGCCGCACTGAACAATTTTGCGTCGGTTTTATTAAATATAAGGAATATATTAAGTAGTAAAATTATAACATGGTTGGAGTTATAAAAAAACTACTAAAGTTAATTTAAAGACAAACTCTTTTATTATTTGCCTCTGTGCGAAAATAATGTGACTAGGTTATGACATGTGGCACATCTGTTAGAAAAGTTACTACATCCGTAAACTTTAGGTCCTAATTTATTTCTACTGTACGTTTATCTTAACTGAACATTAACCTTCATAAAAGCAACGCACGCTGGCCAACTAAGTAACCTCGCGCAAAGAACTATCTGCTCTCTATTCCATCTAAAACCAATCTTGTTGTTATGGTGCTAAAGTTCTACATTGTCGCATAGACACGTTGGTGTGTCGCGCTTTTTCTCCGGCCATTTAAGGCCGGTTACTTTCTTGAGAGCACTTTCTCGCGACGTTACGTGAACCACCGCAGTGCACTTACTTCGCTTGCGTAACTCTCGTAAATCGGTTTCTTAAGCGTCGTCACTTACTTTGATCTCTAGTTGTGTGTTGTCAATTGTGGCCAATTTGTAAGCAATTATTTACAAAGTTAAACCAGATGACTCTTTCAATACGATAATCCTTTCTTGAATTCTGCCTAGTGACTGAAATTTTGGGGACACAATTGAAAAGCTTAAATTTAATTCAATTTTTAATTACCTAGAAGGCATACTACAAGAGTTCGGACTTATTTAATTACAATTTATGCTGCTATAATTTTATGAGTCATTCATGTTATTAAAAATGATTTTTCTATTATTGGAATAATCACATATTTTTACTTTTTAAATGTAATAATTAAATATTTATTTGAACAGATGTGAAATTTTTGTAACGTCAGTTTATTGTCTTACAAAAATGTTCTCACGTCATCAAATCATACATAACTAAAAAACTGTTAAAATAGAGAGACGAGGTGGAAGCCACCGATCGATCATCGTACCGTTAGTTGAGTTAAGTCATTAATACGGACATTGAAAAGGAGAGGGAGCTGTGTAGGAATTTGTAATCGCCTACCATCCCTCCGGGAATTAGCATGTTTATATTCTCCAGCATATCGAAGCTTATGTCGAACGCAAATGTCCACCGCTCACCTTGTTCCAGTTGCACTGGCGGCGGCCGCACCCTCGTATGACATATAACGTTGTACGCCAATTATTAGCATCGTATTTATGATTATGCGCCATGACCGCTGCATTCGAACTTCAGACTAGAGTTTAAATTACTTTTTCTAGCAAAAATATTAAAAACATATCGCAATAGCATATGCTGACATAAGATCTCTTTTATTTCTCATTCGACGACCCCTACATTACATGGTATCTAATACGTTTTAACAAAAAAGTAATATTGTGATGACATAAAAAGGCTAAATATAGCAGCGTTTCATAATTTAAAAAGAATAGTGTAAGGAAACCTAAACAAGAACATCTAAAAAACGTCGTTGCTAGTAATGTTATATTGTGCGATGTTTCTTTATGTACAAACAGCTTTTGATCACAAAAGGTTGTTAAAGTATTATTGTCGGTTAGAATTTTGTAACGTTAAGTAGATGCCGCGAATACTACGCGGTCGATTGGCTTTGGGTTTTCGATGACTTGGCAAAACCTTTTTTTAATAATTATAAAGACGGATGTAATTGTAACAATAGCAAAATTGTTATATACTATATTAGCCAATTTAGAGGTAGTTTTATCATTTGTAACGCATAAATTTAAATCAATAAAATGTGATAAAATTCATACAACAGTGTTAGACACTGTAGTTTACAGGAGTTAAAATCGGATGTTAAAATATCTTTGTTTAAACACATTTTAGCATTTTTGTTATAAATAGTATCTGCTTTTGACTAAAAGGATGATATTTAAAATTATATTACTATGCTTACTACATAATTATACAATGAGTTTTATTTAAACATGACAATATTAACTATTATAGATGTAATGGGTACAATAACACATTTTTACTACAACTGTATGACCATCATATGTTAACAAATAAATTAAATAAATAGTTTTTTAGGGCACATTTTTACACAACATTCTCTAGTCCTAAACTAAACAAAGCTTGTACTATGGGTACTAGAAAACTGATAAACATACTTAAACATAATTTTCTTTTGTAAATAAATACATGTTATACATATATAAACACCCAGACACTAGAAAAACACTACGTCCATCAAACAATATTTTTCCAGTAGTGGGGATCGAACCCACACCCTCTGGCGCAGGAGGCAGGTACACTACCCACAACGCCATTCAGGTTATATAATTAATAAATTAATAAATTGAACGTATATATTTTATCCTCTCTTCATATTTGTTTATTATAAAAATATCATTCTTGTAAGTAAAGATTATCCTAGTAAGCACTCAGGAAATGAACAAGTATTTATTAGTTAGGTTAACAATATGAGAAAATAATGCTCGATCAAATGATAGTTAATTTTAAAAAATATAAAATTTTAAATCAGCACCAATTTGGATTTACTAAATCTAGATCTACAACTGATGCAGGGATAGAATTAGTATCACATATCCTGCAGTCCTGGGAAAGCTTTCATGACACCATTGGTGTGTTCTGTGACCTTTCCAAGGCATTTAACTGTGTAGATCATACAATTCTAATCAGGAAATTGGAATATTATGGTATTCGCAATTGTGCCATTGACTTTGTTTCCTCGTATCTTACTGACAGGGAAGAAAAAGTAATCATAAATGGTATATTGTCAATGGGGTCAAAAGTAAAAATGGGCGTTCCTCAAGGATCGATCCTGGGCCCTTTTCTGTTTTTAGTTTATATTAATGATTTGCCATATATAGTGGAAAAAAGGTCTCAAATTGTTTTGTTTGCGGATGACATTTCACTATTGTTTAAAGTTAAAAGGAAAGATGATGCACTAGAACAACCAAATGAAATACTAGATGTTGTGTCTGGCTGGTTTGCTACCAATAACTTACTTTTGAACTCCAATAAAACAAAATGTATTAGATTTACTCTTTCAAAGTTGTGTCACCAATCAGGAATCTCTATTGATGAGAAAATCTTACCCCTTGAGGATTCAACAGCATTTCTTGGAATAAGCGTTGACTCCAAGTTGCAATGGGGATTTCATGAAGATAAGTTAGCTAATAAATTGAGCGCTGCCGTCTGCCATACGCAAAATCAGGCAGCTAACTAACGAGGAAACAGCTAAATTAGTTTATTATGCTTATTTTCACAGCATAATGTCCTATGGTGTATTACTTTGGGGTTCCGCATCCGGTTTAGACACAATATTTGTATTACAAAAGCAGGCTATACGTGGACTCAAGCCATAGACGGCCCGTCTATGGCTTGAGTCCACGTGAGTCGCTACGACAAATATATTTAAGCAAATAAACGTTTTAACGCTCCCGTCGCTTTACATACTTGAGAACATCATGTATGTACGTAATAATATCCACCCATTTACGAAAAAACAATCCATATCGCGTCGGGGCCGTGGTGACACTCTGGAAGTACCGAGGTTTATATTGGCTAAAACCAGAAAGTCGTTTCTTGGTAGATGCATCAACTTTTATAATAAAATAGGCGACATCCACAAACAACTAAGTATAAACAATTTCAAACAATTTGTAAAAGCTACCTTAATGGCAAGGGCCTACTATAATGTCCAAGAATACATTGAGGATAAGGATGTTTGGAAATGACTCTTGCTATGCACTTGCAAGACCCCTGGCTGCTGCTGATTTTTTACCTAAATGTGTATAATTGCATCAAAAAAAAAAAAGAACAAGACCGCAGAGTTTCTTGCCGGTTCTTCTCTGTGCAGGTCTAGTTTAGTGAACCGGTGGTAGATTTTTTGTTGACGTTCAATAAGAGCTTAAGTTAGGCCTATATTGAATAAATATACTTTGACTTTGACTTTGATATGCCCTGAAGAAACTGAGCCGGCGGGGCATTTCTCATATTTTTCTATTTTATATATCGCTTTAGAAAGTGGTTAAAGAGGCTACCGCCCAACTTATCTAGTGATTATCACCACCCATTAACCTCACGAATACTGTGCAAGTAGGCCATCAGAATAATACAACCTGCCCGCGGCATCAGTACTCCTTCAATCGAGATGGTGGGAACGGCATTGTCTAAGCACTGTAGTGAAGAGCTTCCCTGTTGTTACAGGCGCTTCGTCGGCCCTCTACCTGGGCAAGGAGCTGGGCCCTCTGTCCCAGCTGCACCACGGCGTGAAGGGCACAGTGTACGCGGTGGACTCGCGCACTCTCTACCTCCACGATTTCCATTACGACGGAGCTGGACCGGGTGAGAACATTATGCCTTTTCTGTAAACATCTTTATTGTTACTATCTTTATAGCAAGAAATTACTCTATATTTCTTGTTTTTAAAAAGTAAAGTTCGTAAAAGTGTAGCGTTTCCGATAGCTTTACAGAATGTAGAGTATCAGCGTATACAATTAGATTGTGATTTCAATAAAGGGTGCAGTCGGCTAGTAAAAGATCTCCATCTTATACGGCATCAAAGACGAGAAATAAAATAAAAAAGATAAACGACAAAAAGATAAATCTTTCGTTATCTATTCATATTAAAAAAGCGAAAACTTGTTAGAAGGTATGTAATTAAGAGGATAATTATTGTATCTATTTAAAACTCAAATTATTAGTCCAGTTTCTTTTTAATTAATTTCTTTATGATTTCCCTGACCCTCAATGTAAAGAATTTATTATGAAAAAACTAGAAGCTATATCAATGCCGGAGTTTCACTGCATGAATTAAAATGGTGTAAACTCTAGATTTTTTTATTTAAACATGAGACAAATTCGGTGTGTGTGTCGCACACTGTGCGCCTCTTCGGTTAGATCGTACCTGCCCATTCGTGCAATAGCAGAGACCGTGTGTGTTTGTGTTCGATTGAGTGTTTCAAATATTTTATATGAGGCTTTAAAAAAAGAAACATTTGATACAGAAACATTTAATAATATTCGTTTTTTATGGTGTCCAGTTTTATTTGAACAATAATATATTCCGGGCTCATTTCATGGTTGCTTTCCGCACGTTGCACGCCAATTATGATGCTAGGTTTGCTTGCCCAAATATTCCAGACGTAGTCGGTTCCAAATGTGCATCCGAGTTCGCAAGTGTAACATTCCTGACCACCGTGCTCCGTAATTTCAAATGTTCTACAACTTAATGCCTAAATAATATGTAGGAAACATTTACAGAAGTTTGGAAATTAGTGATTCACGTAGCTCGTTGAGATTTATTTCAAATGAAAACTTTGTATTCATGATGTTGTTTTTATTTTTTAAACTACGAACTTATTATTTTTGCACACCTGTATAATGTAGTGATATAAAAATTACTGTATTATACACCTTACGCCTTGTGTTTATTTGGCAAATAAATTATTATTTTTATTATAAAATTATCTCAAACCTAGCAATTTATATAATTTATATGTAAATGAGAATGTTAGAGTACTTTATCAAATGTATTCATGGCTTCGTCAGTGAAAATCCAGAAGTTTAATTAAAGTCTTCTTAATGACTCCACTACCACCGTACCGTACACGGTAGAGCTAGTATAATCTATATCTTAATCAAGATAGTACGTCTGGTTGTAATTAAGACCTGCGAGCAACGGGACCAGATGCACTGCGCTCCGCTTGCTCGCAAAATGTGGAGCGCTCAAATGTTCGCAAAGCCACGCCGTGGAATGATCGATTTGCATTGTTCCCAACCAAAACCACAATAAACAGTTTTATTCTCAACAGAATACAGTTTTTGTGATCACTGCGCAAGTTTGTGCTATAAATATTTAAAACGATAAAGTGCTTTTGATACTTTGAACTATATTCAGAACGTTTTTTATGAAGCATTGACGAAACTTTATATAGTTTAATCTGTGAAAACTGTGAAAATGCAAATAATATACAATACTCGTATATGTTGTAAGACATAGACAATCGACCCGTACCCCAAGTTAGGTGACCATATCAATCTGAGCTAGACTAACAGTCCCTGTGCTTCCAGCGGCCTACTTCTACGTGGGGTCGTCCAAGAGCCCCAGTGCCGCGGGGGCGATAAGGCTGCGGGACGAGAGGGGCGGGGGCAGCCCCCTGCGAAGGTACCGCGGCGAGGGTCTCACTCTCTCGCTGCCTGACGGCAAGACCCTGCGTGACGTCACATGGTTCTCTGTCTGGTGCGACGAGTATTCGGTGAGTCACTATGAATGTAACCACATTCCTATGAGATAGTGCAGAGAGCGTGATTAAGAGCTTTCTACCATTACACTTTTTTTTTCTTTTATAATATAGTCCTATAGTTTTTAGGCGTGTTATACATACTACTTAATTAATGTTATTCATTAAAAATGCTGTCGCTGTATCATCGAGATTTATTGGTCAGACTGTCACGATATAACTTCCTGTCCCGTGCGAGAATTGAACCAGCGTTTATTGTACTGCGTTTAATATAAACTGTTTTATTTTTTCGGTTTTCGTTAAATATTGAATTAAAAAAAGTTTTCATTCTATTGACTGGGGTTTTTATGTGGTTTATCTCGGCTCTATCCGGATGACCTGACAACTCAAATGGAATGAAGCATTGAATCTTAGTTATAAGCAAAACTACGCCCTCGAAACTTAAACAAAAAATGTGTGCTTTAATGTATTATTGTTTGATAATTCTTACAACACATCTTATGTCAAAACATGGTAAATTAATAATTGGTCGAACTAATACATTTTTCGAGGTTACCCGCACAGATTTAAACTCGTAACATAAACTGTTATAACGCGACAAAAGCATTTAGTATGGGCGACTGTTTCTCGTTCCACAATAAGTCTCTTCGTCGGAATGAAGCCGTAAAGCTGTGCCCACATGCAGCTGGGCGAGTCACGAATGCAAACACACCTGCTCCGAGCGCAGAGCTCGTAAGCGTCCATTTGTCTAGATAGTGAGATATTTGTCTCACCCAGGTAGGATTTGGGATATATATTATGAGATCTACGGAACGTTCTGGAGTTTGAAACGCACAAATATTCCTTTTCAGTTACGTTGGCTCGTATGTCTTCTGAATAGTAGTCTAGATGAGTTTTCCATTATGTCTACTTCAAATAATTGAAAATTCATCTAAATGTCAAGGAAAACAGCAACTCCTCATGTTAGAATATAGTGATAAGTTGACAAGCGAACAGGTGGTTCACCTGATGCTAAGCGATTACCGCTGCTCAAGGACATCTATAACATCTGACGGGACACAGACACCTTGGCAATATTTTAAAGAGAGGGTCCCGGTTACCTTCCCCATGAAACGCGAAAGTATAACACTATCACTTCACGCCGCTCTTCTCTAAAGCCGTAGTAATTCCCCGGATGAGCCTGACCATTCGCCCAATGATTCGTTTCAATGCCCAATTATGCTCAATAATGCTGCAAAAGAAGAAGAATATATAACTAAGGCTTTAAACTAAATAGGTGTGTACTCGGCACGATATTTAGACCCTTGAAAACGTAACTTTTTGCCATTAAGTTTTTAAGATACGTTGGTACATGACAGGAAGTGAGGCTAACGTCATACACAAATAGATTCACAAAATAAAAACTAGTTAGCAATTTTTGTACCTAAGAATACTGAAGATGAGATCGCGGTTTAACCTATGTGCCAATAAACCGGCTTTGTTAATGAATATTAGATAATTACAGTAATAGACGTAAATAAAATGTTGCGTTAACAGTAATCAACTGCTGCCCAAACAGCTTCTCAGAGCGGGATATAAGATGCAAATCGATATTGCGCAGTAGGGCCGTTCCGTAACGTTTTCAGTGTTTCGTAATAGAACTCTTGGCGTCGACAGCAATCGTCTAATGGGAGTAGTAAATGATTGGCGTAGTTCTGCTATCGCTCTATCGGTGCCGTCCTATTGATGATTACAGTGACCACAGGCTCGAAGCTGCAGTAAAAGTATGGGAATAGCGGTTGAAGTTCTTCAACGGTTTTACTACAGTAACAGAGAGAAAAGAAAATTTTGTAATATTCGAAAACGTTACCGAGAGAAAGTATGAATCGCTCAATGCTTCAATCAACGGGTATCAACTCTACATTGCTTATAAACCAAATCTGACAATGAAATTAACTGTAGTCTGCTTACATTAGATGCCGTGATTATTATTCCCAAATCTGAAAAATTCGACCTAGGGTATCATCTCTAGTCAATTAAAATATGTAGAAAAAGTACGAAAAGATTGTCGCCGCTATGGGAATCGAACCCACGTTTTCGGCATTCGCGGCCTGACGCTCTAGCCACTGAGCTAAACGGCTGATTGCCACACAGACGAAAATCTTAACGTCTTTTATCTACATTGTTTTTTATCATTTGAAGCAATGCTTGGCGCATCCTTATATCCTTTCCAGCATACAACAATCTCTTGTCAAAGCAAAATTTATCACTAAGAAACATAAACCTCAACTGGTCTAATCATACTATAGCTAGACAAGTTGAGGTTTACTAGACAGATAAATAACAATGAAATTTTTCCCCAGGTGAATTTCGGCAGCGTGAGCATTCCCGCCAACTTCGAGTACCCTAAGCCAGCAAAACTGAGCGCGCTGCGCGGGGTGCACGCCGTGTCCTCGGACCCCGTCGTGGTGGTGGACGCACAGACCTTGCTCATACCCAACTTCTCCTACGACGGGGAGGCACCGGGTGAGCCATTCGTCTACCCTAACAGCCTTTTTTCATACCTGATTTACGAGTAGTAGCCATTCGAATAAAAGATTATTTAGATAAAAAAAAGAAGTTTAAAGAGAGAGAAACGAATATTGGTTATATGTGAGCTGATATGTTTCATAGTATCGTCTGATGTAAAGAGTTTTTGTGTAGTGTAGCGTAAAAATACTAAGTTTTTACATTAAGGAAATGTATTATTAAAAAAGCGTATTTCTTTAAAGAGATTACAGATTATCAGCTTTGTAACATTGGCCTCTTCAATCTAAAAATAAGTCGTATACAACGAATTTGGTTTTACATGTTTCTCATTTCTACACTTAAATCATGGTGTTTAATAAACGAATCCAGCGGTAGGGAATACCTTATTCGCGGGAATTTCACTAATACCGAAATACAGGCGTAAAGCAGAACCATTGTAACAACCATTTCAGATTTATGATTGATGGCAAATGTTAAACTACAGTTTATTATATTTTCTTTATTTGAAAGCTTTTAAAGTACAATAATATACAATGGGCAACGTAGCTGTGTGGAATGTGCAGCGCGTGGTCTTAGAACGCAATCCGGAGCGGCGCGCCGCCGGCGGCGACGTCGGTGGTGGCGCGAGGCGGGTAACTAACTGTTACGTATCGGGAGGAGACTGTCTTCCATGCGACTGGCAGCGTATCTATCTATCGTAGCGTAGGAGTGTAACTTCGCTTAAAAGTCTCGTTTAGCTCGAAAATAACTTTGTTTACCGTCCGTTAAGCTTGTCTAATTGGTAAAGGTCCAAAATTAGCAGAGCTTGTTTATTTTTTTCAAAGTAGAACGTTGGTGTGATTACCAACTGTGCCCCACTGTTTTTGTATTGAAAAATAATGATCATATTGATAGAAAACATTTATAGTCAAAGTTTATTGAACAAGTACGTTTATATTAAAATATATCATTCAGTATACATTATCTATTTGGTTTTGATAAGTTCCCTGATGTATCTTCGCAAGATTCAATACCAATGAAATTACATGGTACCAAATAGGAGCACGGAAACAAATTTAAAAACATATTTTTTTAATTGGTTCGTAAATGACGGAGTACTGAATTAACAAAAAAAAAAAAAACAATCGATTAGAAAGCCTTATCCTTTTTTAAAGTCGGTTGTAGATATTGACTACTTTTTGCCGGTGATAAATGCAAATAGGTAGACAGTCTTCAAGGCTTTTAAGATAACATATGAGCAGAAACAAAGAATCCCATAATGGTATATTATGATCTTAATCATAATTTGATATGCGTGGAATTTATTGAAATAGGTAAAAAGCTGATTGAATTAAAGAAGTTAAGCTGTAAGCTGTAAGTCCTGCATGAAGAAATTGGTAAGTTTGTGCAGAGGTTCAATTATGAGGTTAGGTTCATATACAAATAACGATAAAATAGGGGAATTAAGCTCGACACATTTATAGATAACTGTACTGAGACTGTTGGATTTGACCAAAATTTTAAATTATTTCTACAGCGCAAACGTTAAATATTTTGTTTAGCTATAAGAATGACTCGGATAAAACCTAATAAATGCCGGGAGCAGTAGTAAAAACTGATCACCCGCTGCCACTACTGCCCCACCCTTATGTAGTTGCGGGGTGCTCGCTGCTCGCGCAGTGCGAATTAATTTATTGTGTTGCAGTGATAAGCCACGCGACAGTTTCACATTGTTTTTCCGGCGCACTTTGTCGTGCTCTGTGACGTTTCATTTACGAGCAGGCCCCATTGTTAAGCTTATTATGTTTTCTAAATTAAAAAGCAAAACTCATATGAGCGTGCTGTATATTCCACATGTCGTAGACGCAGATGACTAAGAAGTGACCAATTTGAAATTAGTATATTGGCTAAGTTTTAAACTTATGAGCTCGGTTTAATAAATTCCTAAATGAAGTTTGAGATGGGATTGCATAAATACTTGAGATCTCACATGATCTGGAACATTGTGAAAACAATGCACCTTTCAAAAACTTTAGACAAAAGAAAAGACGAAGTCGTTCAATTAATGTTGACATTAATTTTATCGATATCTTGCATATACTATCTTTTAGCAGATATTTGGGGCTATTATTACAGTTGTTCGACTCATAGGACAGTCCCAGTGGTATCTAAATATTTGGTGAAGCGCATTGACGATGAACGATTCTTGACCTTGTGAACAAAGAAATTGCCACCTTTTGCCACCTTTTGCCACCTGACGAGTAAACGGTCTCGCGTTTATTTCATTCATAATTATTTATGTTTGTATAAATATAGCTTTAGAAAAATTAGAACAAATTTTGGGGATTTGCGAAGTTCGAGAACCGAGGGCTAGAGTATGCCCGTAGCAAAGCAGTAAACATATTTCAACAAGCGTAATACATGTCGACATGCGCGCACACTCGCAACATCCCCAAATAAAATGATCCGCTGAAAATAAATAACAATGGATGCGCTCCAACTGTTGACTCGTGAAATTTAAACGTACCATTATTGTCAAATAAATTATTTACCTAACTCCGCAATAAAGCTCACGTTTTATTTAAGTGCCTTTTTACTATATCGGATTGAGTACCTTGTATTTTAGCGGCGACATTTGGTAATTGTGTAAGATTATAGGTTTTCATAAGCTGTTATATGCTAACGATTTTCTCCTAGTTCTGGTAGCTTCGTTGAATCTAATCATTATATAATTATAACTTTTAGAGTGTTCATAGTTCCCTGAATTGTTGGAAGTACCGCAAAGTTATAATCTGAATTAAATGGCACCCTCTTTGGGTCGCTGAGCCAGCCAAGTAAGTAAGAAGTAAGTAAATGGCATCCATCGCGCGACATCTAAGAGTAGGAAAGGATTTCTTCTTCCGTATCTTCCGTATTGTATTAAGTTAAGTATCAATAATGAGGCTGAGAAGAAACTGATAAGATGACTGATATCTGATATAAAGTTGTACTTTCACAAATTTTAATTATTTATTTATTTAATGATGGCGTTCATTCATACATAATGTACACTATTTATGACTAAAAAATTAAATATACATCAACTATTCGTTAGTGTCATTACAATTATAGGCGCTGACAGCATGCAACATTATGGTAGAAAAAAAATTGTTAAAAAAAAACAGCTGTTTGTTACAAAATCCAAAGATGCAACAACAGTTAATAAGTAATATTATATATACAGCGTGTCGTTACCATCCCGACAATAAATGAACACGCATATAGGGGATAACTTTTTAAAGTTGTATTAAACATTTAAATTATTTAAACATCAATATTTACAGAGTTATTAAATTTTCCAAAACAAAGAATTTTAGAACACCTTACCTATAAAAGCGTAACGTAAAGTTCGTTTGTAAAGGTCACAAAGCATATGAATGGGTTGAATGAATTTAAAAGAGACAAAACATACTGTTAGAAGGAGAGGCTTGTAATACGACGCTGTGACGCGAGTTGTATAGGATGTTGCAAATTTTGTTTCTTTTTTACTTAATTACTTTGTTTGAAAAAATATTTTTTATGATTATTGGCAAGTAGCGTTAGACGTGTGTTCATTTATTGTCGCGATGGTAACGACACGGTGTATAAAATTGAGAATGAAAGCGTCAGTAAAAAAAAACACTAATAAGGCTATTTCAAGTTTTTACAAGTAAGCGGGGAGAACAAGAAATCTGATTGGCAATAAAACGGACGAAAACAGTTAAAAATAAATAAAAACAATATGTGATTGTAAAAGTAATTCGGTAGGTAAATGAAATCATCGATGAGCTTCACCAGTTTCTGATCGATAACGACTTGAACGGTTTGAGTACATGAAAAATATAAATACGTGCAAATTTTCGGTCCCTTTTTTATAATGTTATGATTGTTTTGTAATATTAGATTATTGAATGCAACTGAGAAAACTTGTAATCAGGAACACTGTCTCATATTTGTTTAGTAAACGTCGACAAACTCGAATTTTTCATGTTTTATCTTATTCGTACCTTAACTTAATTTAATCAGCCTTTGTATCATCGTATGTCAATTCATTTAATCAGTACCTTTGTATCATAATCAGTGTATGTGTATACACTTTCGACTTTACAAGCCGTCAGAGTATTTATACATTTTATGAACATCTAAAAGACATGTTTGTATGTCGCTGTGGCTATCAGCCGTTTGCTCAGTGGCTAGAGCGTCAGGCCGCGAATGCCGAAGACGTGGGTTCGATTCCCACAGCGGCGACAATCTTTTCGTACTTTTTCTACATGTTTTAATGTTTTAATCTAAAAGACAATCATGGTTTGTAGGTGGGCATTTGTGATGTTGTTGAGGTTATGAGTTAGAGTCCTTGTGACCCATGAAGTGTCAAGTTTTCGGTTTCCTATTCTAACTTTGTTTCTGTTTATGTAAGGCTTGCAGTCGAAAACTAACTTGGTATTAATAAAGATAGCGTTAGTTATGCGGACATAAGTTATTCTTCTAGTTACCTTTTTATTACCACTATTTGAGGAGTGTAATATTTGTGGTGATTGCAGACGCCAAGTTCTGGGTGGGGCGCGGCGAGAAGCCGTCGCCGCAGGGTATACGCATCCCCGACGAGAACGGCAAAGAAACGCCCCTTCGCAAGTACGACAAGAAGACCATTGTTCTCACGCTGCCCGGGGTGAGCTTTACGTCTCTCAGCATCGATGGAGAGAGCCCTCTGTGTTTTTACACTAAATTTAATGCAATTCCCGCGCCAGAACCATGTTACATATTAATCGGTGACCAATCTTACGATGGTTAGTTTTACTTTCAAGGGATTACTCGCTCATGGAAATTCAAACACCAGAAGTGTTGCGGATGACTTTGATAAATTTTCTCTTGGAAAGAGCCCAAAAGCATATACTTCGTTTCTAGGTTAAACTGTTATGAGTTTGTGTTTGTATCAGTTTAATATATTTTTGTAAACTGTACTATGTACCGTAATATGTTTTCTTAAACAAAAATAATTTTAACTAATCATTGTTTCTTGACGCGTTGTCATGGAATCCCGAAGATGAAACGGTTTTAAGGTGAGATCGTCAAATAATTTAGCATCCGGACTATTCTAGATTAAAGAAAGAGAGATTATTGAAAGCTCAGTTTTGTGTATCCTCAACACGATATGATACAGTAGATTTAGTATAAAATGTACAAACTTACAGTAGGGTATAGCTCAAAATGAAACATAAATTATTTGGTCTGATTAAAATAACTGTTTTGAAGTCACTGTCTGTCACAGTATTGTAGACACGTTCCATCATCGTCATCATCATTTCAGCCTGTTTGAGTCCAGCGCTGAACATAGGCCTCCCCAACACACTGCCAGAAGCACGATCGAATATATGACACTGTCATTTCAAAAGCAATAAATAAACGTCCCTCCAGCTGCCGAGTCATAAAGTGATTTGACTCAAACAATCAGGAGCTGACCGTGTTCGACATCGGGCACTTCGCGGTTTGGTGCGAGGCATTCACCGTGAACTTCGGCCACATCCCGCTGCCGCGCTCCCAGCTCTCCAACGTGCCACCCAGCCTCAAGATGCTGGGCGTCTCGCCACAGGTGCGTGCCATCCACCCGACCTCAAAACCCATAAGCCATTAACTAAGCGGAACGACGGGGAGATACCGGACTTAATGCTTAATGATTCGATCGGTGCTTCGCATACTAAATTGGTTTCGAAGATCGGCTGTTGCAGTTGGTGGTGACTTGCAGTTACTTTTTTTGCAATCTAAACGTCGTAACTATCCATTTTTGCCACACGAACTAATTAGACATTTTCTATTCAATCTATTCAAGCGATTGAATGATGCGATAGATAGAAACACAGAGAAGACTTAAAGATTTAACCTTTTGGTTTTAAGCAAAGTGAATTATCTTCTACAGTTACATCGGGTTAAAGGAAAGAAGAAGAAGGAATAATTAAATACATTTTTAATTATCTTACTAATAAATCAGTCGTACTGCGTTAAGTATCGCGGTTACTGGAGTCGGTGACCACAAAGGCACCCAATTGTGTAATCAAATGTAAAGGCAAGGTATCTCAAGAATGTTTCTACACCAGTGCAGGGTATGTCATAGAGTATAACTTATACCATATAAACACTACTTGCTTATTATGGCTTGTTACATGATAGAAAAATAATAATTTTAAATATTTAGGCACTATGTTAGCCATTCGACATGAATTAGACATAAGAATTGAGAATTGGAAGTTTCTCTAGCCAAACAACTTTACGGACTTTAACGCGTGTAGTTTTGTTTTTAAAGCGACATAAGAATACTGTCGTTTAACATTTTACGAGTATGTACTTTAATTTACGTTTATTTGTGTAAATACAGAAAAGTTCTGATGAAAACACAGAACTTTCCGGAATAAATTCAACCGCAACACAATGCCAACGATCGGAGCGCGTTGCATAATTTTCCGCTTTTCTAGACGCAGCTTTGATGGTCAATTACACTATTTATAAGCGCTGGCGACATGGCTATATTTCTATTTAACTGACAGTTACAAATAAACACACGGTACTCATTATAAATGACCATCAGTAGATCCAAATTGTTGGCTTAAAATTACACTCTAGATGTAGGGCCTTCAGGGACCATGCCTTTTTCCGGGATGATAAGTAGCCTATGGTATATGCACTTTTCCTCCCTATAAACAACCTCTGTAAATACTCCTTTCCTTTTTCTATATAGATATCATCATCCTTTAGCACCGCATAGGTGGGGTTCAACAGAATTGATGTTATTAGTGGTATTGGCTAGGTTAAGGTGGCCTTTCTAATATGAACCCTCCTTGACGACCTCCGGCGTCAACCCTATAGCTTAGTAATTCCGCTACCGAGCGTACTAGGTCAATATAACCGAAGTGTTTAACAAAGAGACATTTCTAGGTTTAATAAATTCTCAGGTATAATGGGGAATCAGTCATTTAGTATATATTAAATTGTGTTGGAATTTTTTATGTAACTGCTTAAAGAATACTACCTTTTGTTGTTTTTTTTTCGGTTTGTTATTCCATTAAATGATTAAGAGTTTTTATCGGAAAAGACTTTTATATGAAACTTAATAAATTAATTAATTAAATTAACAGTCTTCTTATATAGTTAAAGGCACACGTAGTAAAGTAATAAATCTCTTTGATTGTTTTACGTACGTTTTTTATAAGACAAAAGTTTCTTGTGTTTGAAAGATTGAATAAGAAAGAAAAATAAAGAAATCTAAGTTACACTTCATATAAGTGGCGCACTAACTGTAGACTTGTCTTTGTAATTAGTTTATACGCACATCCATGGAGGTTTCTTGTATATTGGAGTATTAAAACGCAACACCTGCCGAAGCTAGGCATAGGCCATAGGGGCGCATAGGGGCCAAGGCTCCCTGTTCATGGTTAATACGTTCTATAAACAATAATTCGAGTTGCACACAACGAAAGCAAGGGTAAAGAAGGCGTTCTCCTTAAGAATATTGCTCAATAGATCTTCATCATGTCATTATATACATTAAAAAGTGTAATCGGACATTCGGTGAGGGATCATACTTGGATAGAACTATTTGGATTTGTAAAATTTTTTTTTAAAATACCAGCTGTTAATTTTATTCGAAAGTTACTTTGTTCTTGTTGAAACAGTCTTTATGTTATTAAAAACTTTCTCTTCTCTATATTTATTTACGGCGTATTTTATTCTGGCATACACTAACAAAAAATTTACCAAAAATAAATGCCTGTTAACCTAACGACATTTTGTTGTGCAAAAAAAAAGTTAAATTAATATTAATGAAATAAATACGATTCAGTCATCATAGTTCGATAAATGCAGTCGATTTAGATTTCCTCTTATTTATACCACAATTAGTTTATCAATTTAAATATCAGAGGTAAGAGAAAATGAAGAAAAATGATGCCTGACGTCCATCTGTCTATGTGCACGAGTCTGCATTGAGCAACGATGTACACTCACTTGGAATGTTCCTTTCCAATTGAACTGGCATTGTGGCACCGGTATCGAGCGTTTTGTTTATATTCGCCTCTTTGCTAATACGGCAGGCGGTTTTCGTAACGGCCCATTGGCGAGCTCCGAGCCCGTTAACTTTGCGCATTTCGAGTCGACCCCGCGGCCTTGACCCGGCCGGAGTTTAAATGTTAAAACGCCTTGTTTAGACGATATCGTTGATAATAATGCTTGTTTGAAGGTTTCCCCTTGGTAGCTTTTTTCACGGGGCACTGGTAAATTATCTCGGACAGAAGTGTTTCCGTTACTTTATGTAAAAAATATTGATGTTGATAACATATTGGAGGTTTCACGATGTCAGTGAGATACTGTCCCACAGAATGAATAAGATATGATGACAAAGATATATGGTCTCAGGTTGACGTTGGTTATAACAATTTTTTATTTATTATTACTAACCTGGTGAGAAAAATATGTGATTACACACCATACATATATTATAATAAATGAAGATAGAAAACGAGACATATGCCATATACAGACGTATACCTATTTAACGAATATATTTAAATAAAAAAGCCCTTACTAATATTTCCTCAAAAAGCTCCTAAATATTGATCAATTAAATTAAGAACAAAAATTATTACAATAATCTTGTTAGCAAAAGTTTACAATGTTTAGGATGCTTTTAAAACTTTTTACAACACCAACATTCACCTTATAATATACCCGATAAAAAATCTAAAGGAAGCAATTGGGACTTGGGTTTAAACATTTTGGCTCGATTCGGGAATCGAAGGACGCTTTTTAATTGGTTAAAAGGTAGAAAATTAAATTAAAATGTCGGATGCATATGACAATTGCGTCACAACGCTTTCATAACTTCTGCAAGCGCATAAAAACAATTTGGACATACCGCAATTAAGCCGATGCTTAAATATAATTGTTAACGATTTCCATTCGAAATGAAAGGAGATGGGGAAAGGACCCATGTAATAGTATCGCATTCGCCTTTACGAAACACCATGCGCGCAAGTTCGAACGTCCACCAAGCAATTAGCAACTTGTTTAGATAGTTTCTGTTGAAATATAGATAATCCATCGTCTACATTTTAATTTTTATTTCTAATTACCCCCAATAACCATTTATATGTAATATAATAACCATTATCGCGCTGCATACAAACACACGAACAACCTACATAGGAACCGGTACAATTATGTGTACTAAGCACTTCAGCCATATTATTTTGACTTAGCGTTCATCGGTACATACTAAATGGTCCTAATGATAATTTAACACCTGAAGACAGGTAACGAACTGATCTTCAGGACTCAGCTTTAGAACTTTATAATATTATCAGCAACCTCGCCTTATTTCACCCCATTAAATTAATTTACGATAATTGTTTAGTAGTGTGATTATATTTCTGACTAGCTGTGCCCGCGACTTAGTCCGCGTGAAATTTAAAACAAAAAAAAATCTAAAATAAGAGTAGCCTAAGATACTCCTTATTACATTAGGTATCCAGTGAAAGTCTCGTGCAAATCGGTCCAGCTGTTTCAGAGATTTGCCGGAACAAACAGACAGACAGACAGACAGACAGACAAAAATTGTAAAAAATGTTATTTTGCTATATGTACCGTGTAAACATCCATATGTATTTAGTAAAGAGCGGTTATTTTAATATTACAAACAGACACTCCAATTTTATTTATCTGTATAGATTATGTCGCATTTAGTTCAAATTTCGTTTCGATTAAAATTACTTCCATTTTAATTAATGATTACTTTCATGTAACGATGTGTAGTTGCGTAAATACTTTTTAGCGGGGATCGAAACTTTTTATCTTTTAAAACTAAGGGCTACCAACACCACGTTGTCGTTTTCATTTTTAACTGTAAGAAAAAGTAAACAGCATGTTTATTTAATAGAAAATATGAGTATACTTTATGACACTAAATATTAAACCTTACGCTCTTCACTATATTGCCTGTAATCATTAAAAACGAAATGTCCGACACTCGTACTTTTCTCAATGCTACGCACTTTTGCAAGCAGGTATAATAATGTTGACTTTTAAAGAGCAAATAGTACATCAAGATCCAATAGGGCATGATCGATGAATGTTAAATATTGATATCAATTCTAGTCGTCGTTTTAAATCCTCTGCTTAATACTTTTATTTTGTGAATAATTGTTGAACGGGCCAGCGGTTCGCCTGATGTCAAGTGACTACCGCCGCTCATCTACAACACTAGATTGAGGTCTTGCAGATGCGTTGAAAACCTTTAAAAAATTGGACGGCAAACAAAATAATAATACTTCGATCTCACGCTGACCTCCTGTGTCCCCGGACGAGCCCGCTCATTCGTGTTGCGTAGGTCTACCGTAAGTAGACCATCACAGTCATTATTGACAAATTTGAACGAATCAATTTATGTTCGCTGTGGCTAACTCTTTATCTTTAGGACCTTTTAAAGGATCATAACCACGACCATGGAACGGGAATCGCTTTCGGTACCACGGTAAGCTCAAAGTTTTCACGTTGCTAGGGGCAACGCGTCTCGGCAAAATGGTCGAGGAAAGCAGCCAGCCGGGTGTTAATAACGCGGGGCAATGACTCGCGAGTCCGATAGCACTCGCATTAAGGAAACAGATGACGCGGCACATTCTAATGTGCGGCCTCTATCCAACGAAAATGCTCTTGTCGCTAGTAAAAAGTATACAGCTATTACCCATTAGAGTTTTTTCTTACGCAAGCCATCAATAATAACGAAGTTACACATTTCATTATTCGAACTGGTTGGACCGTCTATGAAAATACATGGCGACTAGATAATTTATGATATAGTAGATTAATATTTCTTTCACTAAATGAATGTGAACTTAGCTTAATAAACTGTATGTTAACTTTCTTATTTCGAAAACACTCCACATTCTTGTATTATGATAATCAATGTAATTTACTCGACATCGTTTGTCGTGCGTTCTCTAATTTCGGGTATTTGTAAATAAAACAATACGGTACGGTAAATAATAATGTGTCCTGATATGTAACGTGAGTGACATGGCCATTAACTATTTGACCTAGTTTCGATTCGACAACAGTAATATAATGCGTTAAGGCATCGTGACGAAGTCTCCCATTCAGCCTAGAGGCCTTTACAATCCACTGTCATAAATTATTACTTAACCTTCATGAGGAGGCTAATCTCTAATATAATTCCCGCTTCGACTGCAATGCTTAGCATTCGCGCGATTCATCAATAAGCCAATTGATGAATGGCCAGCTAAAGTGGGAACATGTTAAACGCTTCTAAGGACAACGTTGTATCGTTTGCTGGAGTTAGTTAAGGTGCTTAATTCAATGGTTGCGTTCGGACAAAATCCGATTTCCATGATTCTACTTCATTATGGTGGATCGACCATCGATTTGGACATCAGCGTGATCATCGGCTCCGATCATAATGTTCACCGCTCATATAACCCATTCAACGCGCCTCGAAAATATTGCCGTCTAACATCGGCTTTGAATATCATGCTCACCCGAGTTCACCTGCATAACTAAACTAGTCGACTAAGTACCTCCCGTGGAGACGCTGAGCGCAGGTTTACTGTTGCAGAGCCGAAACAAAGAACTGGCCGAGGGCGCCGCCCCCGCCAGACCCGGCGTCCGTCCCACCCCGCCCCGCAGATCAAAGCCCATCGCCCGCCTTGACGCCACCACATACCGTCCCTCACGCCTCGGAGCCGGACCTCTGGTGGCACTCCTAGAACAAGCAGACCCACACTCACATCACCGCAGAGCCAACAACTACTCTCCCTTTCCCGACCAACTCCTTGCAAATCCCAAAACGCAATCTAAAGATCAATATCGCCAGAGGGACGGCATTCAAAATGGCAGTAATGAACAAGAAGAGCGATACAAAAACCAGCAAAATATTGATTATGCACAAGGGGTCAATCATCGACAACACGAGCAATCACAGCAGACGGAAAACGAGAATTACCGTCGCCAACAATTGCAAAATCTTTATCATAAAGAGCTGCTGGATAGACAGAACCAAGAGTTATTATACCAACAACAGTTATATGAGCAGCAACGTAGAGCTTATGAGCAGGAGCTTCAAAATCAACAGTATCTCCGTCAGCCGGAGCCCTATAGGTACCAATTACTGCCATACGCTTTCGGTACTAGTCAAGGTCAAAGGGACAACCACGAGGCGCCTGGCGTTGTGACCATCCAGAGGAGCATTGACCTTGACCCAGTTACGGGGTCGCGGCCGCAGTGAGAGGCGTGCAGCGGTCGATGAACGTTTGTGCAACGTCCCAGCTTTCCGTCTCATCGCCTCGCAACACCTTTTGCAATCTTCCCGCTTAAGGCTTTTCACCGCTCCGAGTGCCATTCGAATCGAGAGAATATCTCAAGAATCATCAATTATACATTTCGTCATCCGCAAACAGAAACTGTTGGCCAATTCCAAACGTAAACATAAACAGAGATGTGTTCGATCTTCAAAGGCGCGTCCACGGCCGCCCTTCTAAACTGCTCTCTCACTTAGGGACGACTCTGTGACCTCGAGACTTGTGCACCTACATGCATTCGAGAGAATTGCTCATAATTTATACAAATTTATAAAATTACTCTCTGTACCTTATCTTTAACAACCCTATTGTTGTGGCTTAATTGCTGTTTCGCTTAATGCATACGTTGCAAATTCCCGTACTTGACACGTGTTATAATGATATTGTTGTGTAGTTTTTACAGAAAAAATATTTTTAAGTGCCTATTTTAAGTAAATATAACTTAAGTAATAATGCGGTGCCAGGTGTTGCAATATAATTATTAAGCTTGATTTCTTTTTTCAAATTTTTAAGAATACGATGCATATATCGACAGGACGTGCGCTTCAACTGATCAATACTTTGAAATAATAAAAGTTTAAAATAATTTGAAGCCTTGTATGTGATATGATAATACTCAGTACAAAGTTACTAGCTGTGATATAGTTCTTTATTTTTGCAAAATTAATAATAATATATTTACATTGTTTGGTTGATCGTTGCCCGGTTCAGTTCAGTCCCCATGTTATCTTATAGTTGTAATATGTTGTACTTTACTAATCATAAGCAATGTAATAATAAAGCTTGCCGATTAATACACTGTCTTTTATTTAAGGTTACAGTTGGAAGGCAATATCGTTATTAAATGGTGCGTGAAAATGGGCCTTTTGCATAAAGCGAATGGTATTTACCATGCCTTTGTTTTTAGAGACAATAATAGCTCCCGTATATTCTAATCGTAAAAGGGTAGAGAAAGATAGAGAGTTGTATGTTACTAAATAACTTTAAAAATGAAAAAAAAAAAATACTCGAAACATAAAAACTTACACAAAACCTTATTTTTCTATGGCTAAAATATAAGAACAGATTCTTTAAATATTGTTATATTAAAGAATATAACAATATTTAAAGAATCTTTTAGAATTACACAATATATAGAAATAAATAGTTCCTATTTAATATATCATATTTAATATATGATAGGGTTTCTAAGTCCAACCCATGAAAATATTGTAAGCTAATTTTGTTTATTACAGGCAAAAATTGTCACAATTATGCTTATAAATTTAATTAATTTTAATAGAAATGCACACTAGTTATTCCTTTCTTTTCCTAATTCAGTTTATTTAAACTTTTGTAAACAAGTATCGATCTGGTGGGTTACTTTCGCCCGGTTTCTGAAACACTGAACATCCTAGAAGTCAACTAACCAGCTGTCAAATGGATTTCAAATGTTATTTGAGTTGCCGAAGGGATTGTTAAACTTTCTGAATTGATAACAACGATCTTAATGATCAAAATGATCTACGATGAGCAGTTATTCAGAAACCGGGCGTTTATAATTAGAAACCAGGGAACTGATATATTATTTTGTGAGATGATGGCAAATGAGCTGGCGGTTCAACTGATGTTATGTGATACCCACCGCCCATTGACATTTGCAGCACCTATACGGTTGCATTGCCACCTTTATTAAAGTGGGCCTAGGCTACCTCATTCACTGTAGGTACAGAGGGACATTTTTTCTAGAGAGACTTCTAAATCATATTCTAACGGTATATTTATTTAAATCATTTAATTTCTATTATTTTTGCGATAAAAGGGCACACGCGCAGGCGGTTAACTTGATGTTAAGTTATTACTACCGGCCAATGGTAACAATAACGTCTCTGTGCTTGCCCATATTTAAAAGAGTGGCTCCTGCTTACCTCACTTACCAGACGAAACACAACTTTAAATACTGTCCACTTCATGCCCATCTACTGTAAGCCGTGGTAGTAATTCAGTTGAGACTGCCCGATTGTGTAACGGACGGTAATTAAAGGCGTATGGCATGTCCTACCATAATAAAATTGATTAATAACATTCACTTTTAAACACAAATTGATACGAATATGTTTTTATTGTCATTATGTAAGCATATCAAAATATGTAAGGCATTTAATGTTTTACTGTTAATTTTATGTCATTCAGCTACATAAATTATTTCATGATATTGTTTTACTGATAAATCTCTTTCTCTTTCTCTCTTATTTGTTAAAAACATATCATAAAAAATAATCATGAATTTATTAATATTTGAGACATCACAAAAGGTTGTGGTGGCCATTTTTTAGGAATTTCCCATTCATTTGTACTGAGGAAATACGTCCTCAGTGTGAAAGACTCATATGGCGATTGGCGACTGTCTTACCAACTATCATACTATAGGACCGTGGTATAATGGGGATAGTAAATAACATCTATACAGATAAATAAAATTGGAGTGTCTGTTTGTAATATTAAAATAACCGTTTTTTACTAAATACATATGGATGTATACACGGTATATATACCAAAACAACATTTTTGTCTGTCTGTCTGTCTGTTCCGGCTAATCTCTGAAACGACTTTCAATGGCAGATATTTTATGTTATAAGGAGTTTAGATATTGACATATAACTTAAATTATAAGTAAACAACCTGAAGAGATTGGGTATTGTTGCGTTTGCCGCAAATATCCAGTAAAGAATGCCTGTAGCCGTTTGTCCTTTATGCCGATCAAGTGCACAGGCATATTCATTATACGACCTTTGATTATGAACGTTAGACAAGTCCGATGATATTTCATTGCAAGCATTTGGTCTCAGACCTTGAATATATTATGCAGTAACGTTTAATTAATATTCATTATCTTAAATATGTCACGTTTATTGATTTAAATGGGTAAATTTATAAATTCATAAATTTATATTTGTTACAATGTTTGATTGATTTTGTAGGTAATTAAATTACTCCGTTAGTATCAGGTTCAATCGGTACGTCTGTCACCAGGCTATATCTTATGAACCGTTATAGTAAGTCACTTGAAATTTTCACAAACGATGTATTTCTGTTACCGCTATAACAACAAGTACGAAAACAAACAGAATAAAAAATATGTAATGTATGTAAAAAGTGCCGTTTTTATAGATAATGGTACCCTTCGTCCGCGAGTCCGATTCGCACTTGGCCGGTTTTTAGTTTTATTTAGATCCAGTGGTATATTAAATTGACTGTGAATGTGGGCTCTCTTACATAGGTCAAGCAAAAAGAGCTATAGACGCCCTCGTGAAGGAACATAATTATGGGTGTCTTAAAACATCATAGATTAAATAAGTCTGCTGTATGTGAGCACACTTTAAATCGCCCCAACCATTATATCAGGTTTGATAAACCACAGATCCTAGTAAAAGAACTAGAACAAACTATAGTTAACTATACATTATGGTCTGTAATATGATAATGATTGTAAGTTTATATAAAGTTAGAAAAAATCGGCCAAGTGCGCACGAAGGATTCCGTGGGTACATTTAAAGCACGATATAAAATGTAGTACATGCGGTGGAGCTGCGGGCGAAAATTTAGCTAACAAAATAAAAGTAACGGCCTTTAAGAAAGACAACATTTACATATTTACTAACTTCTTTATAATCAATTTTAATTTTTCTCATTCTTTCTGGCATTTTAGTAACAAAACGAGAAAAAAAATCGTTACTTAAATTAGTATGCACTTCTCTAATCTAGTTATTTATAAAAGTAAAATCAGTTATTAATGTACGTTCAGAAGCTAGCTTATATTTTATTTTTCCCGAAATCTTTGACTATCTCATTCATGTATAAATGCCTTGATCCGGTGTTTACAAGTGATTCATGTACACCTCCCTCTGCTCTCTTTTTTATGTCTCATTAGCAAAAATTCTTTTCGCAATGGTTGTCTGGAAGATATAGCTTTCTGTGCGATAAGATCGCCTATTGTATTTCTTTTTACATTCATTTATAACTTGCTTTGTATACATGTATGTTTTTTGGTGTAAAATAAAGTATAAGTAAATAGTATGCAACGCGTTGTATGGTTGTTGTGTTACAGTCGAAACTGAACTGCGAGGTGCTGTACGACGAGTTGGCCTTCGAGGTGCGCTGGGCGGTGGCCGGAGACAGCATTGTGCTCCAGCTGGTCGCGAAGCTTGGTATCTCTCCTTTCTTTTGCCTAGACATTATGTTGTTGTAGCAGTTGGCCGGATGGTAAGTGATACACCAAATGGCTACGAGGTGAATTTGCTGAGTAAACATTCGGCATTTACTTCACTTGCCACACGAAAAGCAGAAGTGTATACATTTCGACCTGGTGGTAAAACCCCCTATCTGCTTGACGTCAATATATGATACAAAATGACAAAATCATAACCAGCCTTATAGATTCTACGAAGATTTGGCAGGTTCTTTGTGATTTTTGAAGTTATACTTCTTTTGGCGCGTATGGAAAACAAATATGGGAATAAAATTTATACATAGCGCGCGCACATCGACCTTCAAAAATTCGATTGCGAAGCAATAAACTTCACATGATATATACCGAATGATATTTGCCAATAATTTCAAGTTGTTTTAAGAAACCATTATCAATTGTATTTAATGTCTTTACGCTAAACAAGTATAACTTCTTAAGTGCGTACATGAGTACAAGCACACATAATTTTTTTAATGTAGCGGATTGATTTTTGATAAACAGCTCAGTTTTAATATGGCAGATCAGTTTTTTACGACTCAAGTTCCTGTACAAAAATATTTGATGAACTTATGGAATGTTCTTTATTATTATTTCAAAATAGTAAACAATTAACTGATATTAAGAAACACTGTAATTACAATTATCTCTCAGTGCTCTATGAATCACTAGGTTTACGTTCTATGTAGACAAATTTGAATAGAACAGGTCTACGAACACGTTTGGTAGTGGTTTACTATAGTATATTTTGTAAATATTTTTGTTTTCCCTTCAAAACCCATTATTTCGATTTGAGAAACTACGCTGGAAAAACAAGTACCGAACATACATATGTACGTACTGATTATACATGTTTATTAATAAATTTTTCACAGAGGATGGAGAATACATGTCTTTTGGAATATCGGGTAGTCCGAACCATTCGCAAATGGTCGGCGGTGACGTGGCCGTGGCGTGGGTGAACAAAACAACCCTCAAGGGCTACTCCGTGGACTACTATCTGGACGCGAAGAGTCAGTGTGCTGGAGTCCACGGCTCCTGCCCCGATGAGAGGCTCGCTGTGAGTACTTTCGCTTTGTCATTATAATTATACGGACGATACAACAACAAATTGATGTCTCCATTCTTCCGTGTGTGACTTTTATTTAACAATATTTGACAGTACTCTTTATTTTTATTATTTAAATTATGACTCGGTGGTGCCGTTGCTAAACTATTGGCTTCAGCGTCGGAGGTCTAAATAAAGTGGGCCCAGCTACGTCACGCACCAGACGAAACGCAGAATTGCAACACTTCTACTTTACGCCGGTCTTCTATGAGGTCGTGGTACTTACCGGGACGGACCTGCCCATTCATGCAACAGTGAATACTGTTGCGTGGTCCTTCCACAGTAGGTATAATATTATAACGATAACAATTGTTATATATGTAGGTTCCTCTGCCAGAAGGTTACCGATATTGATGAGGCTTTAACATTGTCTTTTCTTTTCCTCCTGACAAGTTGGTGGGGGCAAATGTCTTGGGCGATTAAATCCAAAATTTCCGTTAGTGAAACAAAGTTTGCAATATTATCATGATTCGCAGGAAAACACAAACTCAATCCGTCTGCTGAACGCAGCCCTCGTGAACGGTTACTCCATCGTGACGTACCAGCGCGCGCTCAAGGCCGCTGACAAGTTGGACCTTCCCATCTTCACTAACGCCAGCCAGCCCATCATCTGGGCTATCGGCCCACTAAACTCCCTAGACGAAGTGTCTTATCACCATCACTATACCAAGGTTTGTATAATTATTTTTGGTATTTTCTTAGTGCTATTGTCAAAAAAATTAGGCGAGGATACTTTTTTGCCATAACTGACCACTTCAGATCGAAGAATAGTATATATAGTATAAGCATAGTACTTTTTTGGTATAAAAATAAAAAAAATATTAAGAAAAGTAGTTTTATCAGTTCCCTTATTTCCATAACACGATATCCGATATCAATACTCTAATTGTTGAAACATTGTTACAGTTTGAATTAAAAAGCTTAACCGTTAAGTTGGATTGTTTTAGTGTCAATACACATAAGATGAAACTTTAAAGTGTGTAAATAAAACTAAGTTTGAGTCGACAATCGATATCACCGATTCGTTGGCTGCCAATGTTTGGTAAAACAACGAAAATAAATTTTCAGGGTGACAAGTTCATCGAGTTTGGTCGACCTCCGGTCTGGAACTGCCCCATGCCCGAGGGCGAAGATGAGCACGAAGTGGCAACGGATAAGACGGAGCCTCCACCGACACGAGCCCCTCACAGGGGACATCAGGTCTAGCGCCGTCTAATAATCAAAATAACACTTTTATAAGAGGGGGGCAATAATGACTAATCTTCGTTACGAAAGAGAACCTATGGATAAAGATTATTTGTATATATATACAGTTTCTAAGCTATTAGCGTCGGCGCCAAGGTCATTGTGTTCGATTCCCACACGGGACAAGTATTTGTATTAGACAGCGACAATCGTTCCGATAATGTGTGTTTGTTTCCAAGGAGGGTTGGCATTAGATTAGCGGCCAGTCGAAAATAACATAGCGTGGACCATTAACAATATGAGTAGCATATTCTTCCACTTAGGTGGAATGAGGGCAGGAGTAAAATAAAATCTTTTTAGGTAGGTGGCCAAAACGTTTTAGTCATCCATGATTAGGATTAGTGCGTTGGCGACTTTGAAATAACGGTATTCTGTGAACTCTGAACGAGACGCACATTTTTCCATCAGATTCTTTGATTATTATCTATAAAGATGAAAAAATGTATGAATTTAATTTTTTTTTGCAATTATATGAATGCTAAGATCTTCGTTTATTACTTTTGTTCAAATTAGTTTACTATTACTTAATTTAATAAAAATATTTAAGATTTACAATATATTTAAGTTAATAATTAACAAAATGGTTATATTTAGCGCGCGATTTAAAACAAAAGTGCAATTGAAACAAGAAAATTTTATGTTTTGGAGACCATTAAGGACATAAACTGGTCTTCTCTTCTTTCTTTCCAGACAGGGCACTCTTAGTATTGCCATTTGGTTTCAAACCTTAGTATTTCTCCATTTGGTTTCTGTTTATGTGTCTATTATAGACATTAGGTTCTTGGTTTTTCCGTAATGGACTTTTTATCATTATTTTTGTAAAAATTCAATATTTTACAGACTGCAGTAATCAAACCGAATCCCGTTCCAACTCCAAAGCCGGTTGCAAAAGTCACCCCATGGGAAATTCCCGGTATCCAATGCTATGAACCACCAGATGGAGTCTTCTACGCCCAAATGGGGCCAACTGGAGGCAAACAGGGTTATTCGGCCATAACTGGTAATTTTTAAATAAAAAAACGTAAAGAAAGAAAGAAAGACGACTTCACATACCTTCCATGCCTTTTCCTTTTTTTTTCTTATCACGATAAATAAAAATTGGTAATTATCTACATTCTTACGTATCATCTTTGTTCTATCTATAAAACATAATTTCAGTTAATTTAATTCGAAATAAATTTTAATACAGTTAATTTGCCAAAATAAAATAAATAATATAAAGGAAGAATATAAAGTGATGTGAATTGTTCTAGGTCACGTCGGCTGGGGTATCTCTTGGTTCATCAATGGGCTGCTCATTCCCGAGATCACGGTGGTGCGCGGCAAAAAGTATACGTTCGTGGTGGAGGGGGGAAGCGACCCCGACGTGCCGGCTCGCTACCACCCCTTCTACATCACCAATGATCCTGTAGGAGGCTACTTCCACAAGTCCAATGAAGAGAAAGAGGTGCGTTTAAATATAAAACATAAGCACTTCGCCCGCGACGTCATCCGCGAAAATTGTGATAGCTCGGCCAATTTGCATGATATATACCAAAACACTTATGCGAAACACGCTGCATTTTATGATATAAGTATAAGTTCTATTCAGTAGTTTTCGCAGTATAACCGAACAAAAAAACCGGCTCTCCATTATTAGCATAGATATTTTTGGGAGAAAGAATATAATCCATATTATAGGCAGTGAGGTCTCAGAGGGAGTAGACCTGTGGGTCTTGCTTAGAATAGATAACTTAAAGGTGTTTATTATTGATATCTTTTGTTGATTGCTTGGATTTCTTAAGCACAAACATTGCAATCAAATTTGAAGCTAAAATAAATTTGAAATCCAAAAAAAGATTCTACATAGTACCTGTAGTTACGAGACTGAGCCCAATTAAATTAAATAAAAAATGTACCGCCACCACTATTTTCACTCAGTGTATGCGTAATATTCTCGCTAGTACGTATCTCAATGCATTTTTGTCAACCTAACAATTCTAATTCAGAGGGTCGAAGTGTATGCGGGTGTACGTCGCGCTCGCAACGGCGAGCTGATCCCCACGGGCGTGGGCCGCCTTTGCAACTGGACTCCCGACAGTTCCGGGCCAGAGGCCGACGAGTACCCAAGCTTTGGGGCCTATCAGCGCTCGCTCACACTCGTCTGCGAGGAGGGCAACCCAGGTGTAGTCACCTGGACCCCGGATCGGAATACCCCGGACACAGTTTATTATCAAGTGAGTCCAATAACTCAGTAACTCACCTCTACAGCTTGTTGGCACTAGTATGAATAAAATGATTGGGTCCTATATGATAGAATCAAGTTTATGGTGCTATAAATGAACAGAGCAAAGCTTTGTGTTTCGTATGCGTTGTTATGTTGCTAAAACAATATTTATTTACTTTATACATTTCTTACTGAATAAGCCCCACAATATCTTCTTTATTTTTTTTCCTTGTTTCATAAAAATTGCAGCTACTCTGATGATCATATCATTTCACTTTTTTCAGCTTATGTTAATGTTGCTTACAATATGCATACAATCACTCATTGTTATTATTTATCATATAGATACATTTGATTCTATTTCTATTGCGTGACATACTCTGTACATAACCTTTCTATTTTCTGTTTCAGCCTTTCAAGTCTTTTGTATCGCATGAGGTTCTGTGTATCTCTCGTTATTGGGTGACAGACATTTTATTACCATGTTTTGCGTTTAGGTCAAAATTTAATATGAACTTTCTTTACAGTGTTTCACACATCGATATCTCGGTTGGAAGATAAACGTTGTAGATGAATGTGATGCTACAGAGGCAGAAGAGAGCAGAGTAATCCAAACAGTTGCTTTGCCAGGAGATTTATTTAGCGAGGAGTCTATTCAGGTACCCACTCGTGTCAAGCCAGACAGTAACTTTTTAGATGAAAAGAAGAAATTAGAAAAAATTATATATATGAATAAAAATTATAACAATTTCAGTAGCAATACAGGGGTTTTCCCCAGGGAGGTCTACCCCCAAAGGAATCACTTTTATTCAAGTGGACAGGAGTATGAATTGCCAATATCAAAATTACAAATTAAAGAAGTCATTGAGGCTGTGGAGAGTTTGGAGGACCAGATGAAGGATGAAATAAAGAGGAACACCACGCATCTACCTCAGAAACCTGTTAAACAATATCAAGTTTATGAAGATGTCAAGGAATTTGTACCAGAACAGCCCATTCGTGATGGTGACGAATATGTAGTGGAGATGGGACAGATACCTGATAGTTTTTTGTTGCCACCAAATCAAAAGCCTTTAACACTTCAAAGCGTTTTACGTCCAAATGTTAAAAGCAAGCCCACTGGAAACCTTAGACCACACTTTCGACGACCAACACCACCTGAAATAATTCTACATCGACCTCCACCACATATGAACCAAAACGGTAACAATGCCTATCCATTATCAATGCCCAATCCTCATAGCCCACACGGAATGCCGAAAAAGCCATTTAATAAATTTCCCAATAATCGTTTGCCCCCTATTATGAACAGACCACCTACACATAATATTCCACCAATGAAATCGATGCCACCACTTCATCACAACAAACCAAGTCATAACCAGCCTGGATCGAATAAGTTTAATCTAGGAAACTCAAAATTATCCAACGGTCTCATACAGAGCATCATTACAGGAAAGTTAGGACACAATATTCCAACACCAGTACAAAGTCAAACTCTTAGCTTGGGAAAAACAGATATAATAGCGAATCAAGTTGTTAAAAGTCAAATTACTTTGCCAGGGACTAATGATGCAATCGCTCAACATAGCGTTCCTCAAATTTTTACGGCAAAACCTCAAGGTCAAGTACAAATTATTCTTGGAAAACCTGTTGAAAATCCTATGCCATTAGATCAGCAAATGATTCAGACTAAACAGCAGCCATCTAAAACACAATATTTACCAGAAATCTCTCAACGACCAACACCACAAATTATACATAAAGGGGATTCTCAAACAGTAAGTGAAATTAAATCTTCTGATTTTATTGGCCAGTCGACCGACTCCTCAACTCTTGCTCCCGCAGTCAACACTGGGTTTAAACCAGATTCAATTGTTATTGAAAGCGGTTTTAAACCAATTATAAGGGAACCATTAATGGCTAGTGAAGATAAAATAGCTGATTTTGAAGCAGATAACGCGAACAGAAGAGAAGATACCGATGTTATCGAAGACTATGAAGATTCACCACAACATATATCGAATCATGCCTATCCAGTCCAAATACCAAGCGACAAAATAACTGAGAGCTTCGAGCCTATGTTTATACCTTCCCCACCAGACCATCTACTTCCTACTAACGATCGAACTAAAGAAGTATTCCCAAAAAATCATGCGAAAGAAGACAGACCACACCCTGTATACGTGAAGTCTGAAAGTGAATTAAATTCACTATTTGGTAAAAAGAACATGGATAAAAGTTTTTCTTCAGATTTGATCATGGAGTCAGATAGAGTAAGTCCACAATATTTACCTCCCGACCCAAAACTACCGAAAGAACATTCACAAAGGTTGTCTGCGGATCAAACTTTTACAACATATGATGGAAAAACCATATCTGCGGCAACTTTAACGAGTTTGCCTGATATAAATAAAGTAAATTCTAAACTATTTTCTTCTAAACTTCCCGCCAACACAGAACTTCTTTTAAAGATGCCTCAATTCGGACCATTTAAAGGCGAAATTCCACCACCCGTTGATGAACACTTTAAAAAGGATTCGATCGAAATGTCGCATCTTCCTCTAGCTCAATTAAAATTAGTGAGCTCCCTTGTACCTAAGCGTAGTGTCACAAAGTTGGATAATGTTGAAGTTGAAGGCACTGAAAACCGTGAAACTAAAGAAAACATTGAGACTGAAGATGCAAGTATAGAAGAAGAAGAATTTGATGGTGAGGATCATGAAACTGATGAACAGCTGAGAACAAAACGAGATGTAAAAATGGTACAATTTGAAAAAGATAGGGAAAGAGCCGATCCCTTTGAGAATTTTAAAGAAGAGAATGATAAAGAGTACATGAAAAATTCCGTTGTGTTTGAAGCGGTAGCTGCCGCAAACAGATCTGTACATATACATTGGACGACGAGCTTAAGTTTTTTAATCTTGTGTCTGAAGTTGTCGTAAAACATTTGTTATGTAGTATTTATTAACTTATTTATTTGATTAAATTATTAAGCCTTGCCATTAAATGCATTTGTGAACGAAAATAGTATTTTAAAGTAGGGGTTTCGGCTGTGGGATATTTATTAAATCAAACTTAAGCGTTATTTCTAAACTCTTTTGAAGGCCAGACGGTAAGCTCCTTGACATCATAGAAATTAAACTCACCTGTTACCAATTTTTACACGCATAATGCAATTCAATACTCCGATAGTTTTAGATGTTTGTAAATATTTTTGATATTATGTAATAATAAAAACTAGATGACTTTTCCTTTACCACTTTTATTTTCTTTCCTTTCTTGCAATATTTTTGTAAATAACATTTAAGAAGCTCATCAGCTTTTTATACGTTAATCTATGCATTTCGCATTATTATTGGGTCCCGCTCTCATACCGAAAACGCATGAAAGTAATTAAGGACTATTTATTTATTTAGAACGTATGTACATACCTGTTTCTAGTGCAAGCAGCCATAAAAGAAAAATTAAAATCTTTTAACACAAATGCTAATTACCGTCCTCAGTCATACTTAAATAATGAGCGATGTAAACGAGTAAACATATAATGTAGGTGAGAAGTTTCAAAGTAGATGGAAAATACGTGCTTTATTGCTTTAAAAAATACTTTACTAAGGTAACATCATTTAAGCAAAGCTTGCACGCTCGAAATCTTCTTGGTGAGCCTTGAGAAGTGCGCTAAAGCCTTCTCATGGATAAATGTCGCGTCCACTTGGCGTAGCACTGAGTCGCGGCGGCGCCCACTGGAGACAATTGTGTGGAATTATTGCAACTTACGAAATAAATAATAAAAAAAACCTGAGACTAACAATTAAATCCAAAACGAGTCTTATCATCCGCTTACGTCAGTCAGTTTATCATAAAAGAATCGGAAGTGATAAATTAAATTTTAATAAAAAGCGGTTAAAAAAGAAAAGTAACAACCTATATATCTCACGTCTAAGCAAAGGCCTCCTCTATACTGAGCGTATTAGGACATTGCGGATAGGCACACTTCGCATTTCTTCCAAATATTTACGATGTTTCCTTCACAGTTGTGCACGTGATGAATTAGCGATTAAAAATGAAATTAAAAATTTTATTTGTGCTGGAACCGGGAGTTGACTCAGGTTGCTCGGAGTACATTGAATTAAAAACAAGCATCCTGACACTACTACGTGATAGTTTAATCCAAATACATTTTCTTACTTTTTATCCTTAAGCAGTCGTGCGGCCGCCACGAGTGAGAGTCCAGCATGGTCTGTCATGTCGACACTGCTGCCACGGAGTATCAGCTCCTCGATCACCCCGCTCACGGCTCCCTGACAAACTGACGCACATTCGTAGTCAAAGTCAAAAATATAATCTTTTATTCAATTTATCACTTTTTATGTGAGAAGGTGGCAAACGAGCTGACGGTTCAATTGATGTTAGGCGATGTTCGCCTTCTATGGACGTTTGCAACACCAGTAGACTTGTAGATGCGTTGCCACCTTATATATAAGTATAACATTCCCACTTCGCGCCAGTCTTCTGTGAGACGTGCTACTTACCCGGACGGTCCTGACCATTCGTACAACAAAAATCCACAATTAAAATGTTGGTTACAAGGATTTAAGAAAGTCCTAACATAAAATTTCTTTTCATACTTTGACAAGAATCCGTATTCTTGGGGCAATCAGTGTATTTCTTTTTAAGATATTTCTATTTAAGATATTAATCTATTATCTTTTCATCGGATAATATAGTGTACAGTTTAAAACCGAACAATATGTTAGTCTTTAAATTCCACCACGTTATAATTTAATCTTTCAATTGAATTTGGCTTTGACAACTTTCTTATAATGTTATATTACTATAAATATATTATCTATGTTTAGTGTATTAATAAGAATTGCAAAGATAGCTTTGTCCTAACGCTTAGTAGAAGCATAAAGGAAAGCCTTAATGCTCACTCGCTCTGAACAGCGGTGTCCACCCGTTGCCGTCTTGCACTTTGACGTCGCCGCCTTTGTCCAGAATGTGTTTCAGCACCTCCAACTTACAAGAATCTACGGCGTAGTGCTCCACGTGAAGTCCGTTTACGTCCTGTGCCTAAATTATTATAGAATTATTGCAAAGTACTTTATAATGTCAGGTATAGTCATAATGTTGCGTTTTTGCATTCATCCGGTCCATGGAATGATAAAACAAGTCTTTATTTCGTATTGATTCATCTCCTTATCCCATAGGATTCTACACAATATGCAAATCAAATATCCGGATCCGGAATAGCGAAGAAGTATTGTTGTGATCTAATTATTTGCGTAGATCACACAAATAATTCTTCTGAGTTTATTATACCTAAGTAAGTAACAAGAAGTAAGTAGTGGGACCTATGTTCAACAGATGATGATAATGATTAATACGGAACATCTAAAATGTTATTTATTAAACATTTGAAATATTACGTTAATATAAAATTTCATACATTTTCTAAAACAGAGCTTTTGAAATATTACCATAAAATCAGCTTCTCTATCCAACAAGAGATCAATTATAGGCAAATTTCCCGTCAACACAGCAAGGTGTAGAGGCGTTTGTCCCGTACTTAGTGCTAAGTTAACTTCTGCGCCCGCTTGTAGAAGAAATCGTACAGTGTTAACGTCACCTTGAAATTAATAAATGCAACTTTAAAAGAAGTTCAAAGTGCTTTGGATTAATCAGTAAAGTTTTATTTTACGTAATAGTTGTATTAGTATTATTAATTTTGCATAATCCATTGACATCTTTAGAGCTCACGGGGCCAAAAAGTAAAAGTATAAACACTGGCTAGCTTCAAAATTGTTTGTTCGCATATTCAAAACATGAGTAAAACTTGAACGGTGACATGGTAATCTAAATCCTACACTTGTGCTTCGTAGAACCAGCCAATGCAGCATTGATAGGATATTACAACGTTACACGTTAATTTTCTTGTTTCATGTTTTCCCTTTCAAGTTACCAATAACAAAAACAATGTATATACACCAAGGCCTATCCGTGCTTTAGTTTTGCTACATATAAAACATAAAATCGAATGGATGTCTATGCGCAGCAATAGCTTTGATGCAATCAAACAATTACCTACTCAATATTTTCTTTGCAAACACTTTCTACTTTTAATCAAATTTCTTATCGTGTATTACATGTCAAACAAAGTAAAATTTTATTAAACCGTAAAATGAGGTCAGCCGTTTTATAATAATCAGATAAATAAATATAAATACTTGATTCTTTTACCCTAAGAGAGTAAAGCCCCTAATGATTACCTTTCCTTATGGCAGTTGCAAGTGGAGTGAGACCGTTTGAAGACGCTATGTCTATCAACTCTGGCCGTTCCTCAAGCATCGCCTGCAACTAAAGAAAATTGTTTTTAAAATATCTGACGAAACTGCTTCATAAACAAAATATTGTTTAAGATAATAAAACACGTCCAAAAGTTTAATGTCTGATAAAACTTAACGTTGCATTTTGTGTTAAGATTTTCCTAATAATATCAAATCACTGATTTTATATCATTATAAAAAAATATTTTATCGACAAATAATATTTGGTACATAAATTGAGGGTTGAGGCTGTTAATATATACGAATTTACATTTATATCTGTATAAATTGCAGATAATCTTGGTTATTTATTATGATTTACGAAATCAATAATTGTGGTGTTTATAATAAAAAGGAGAGTTCGATTAAATTATGAAAAATTTTATTTATATTTCGACAAATGCTTTATGAATAAAAATCGATATTGGATTGGATGATTGGAGGAAACTATTGTTACGAAATAATAATTTACAAATATAAATGAATCCAACAATTTAACGAAGTATACCTTGCATTCTTGTTTACATTGTATAAAGGTAGGCACAGTTTCTCTTCTCTAAGCGTAATAAAACTACATTAAGTGCAAGGAATATTATGCGAAGCTCCGTTTAGCAATTGCAGAGAAGGCTACATTGCTATTATTATTATCTTCAATATGGTACTTGGTTTTATAATCAACTTTGGGTCTTGCAATCTGTCAGACCTGCTTGACGTAGCCACAACGCACTGCCATACAGAAACAGACGGCCGACGTGCCATCAGAGTCGGTGCTGCTCCACGTCTCCTCGGACCACTGCGACTCGAACCACTGCCTCCCCGTCGCTTCGCTGTCAGCATTACAATTTGGAACGAAGGAACAGTTCTGTATTTATTTCACTTCAGTCCTTCACACTGTCTATCGGGTAGGCGAATTTGAGTCGTCAACAATAACTTATCTTTTTTATTGTACAAAAACCTTTTTAAAGGTGAACTGAAAGCAGTGTGAATGCGCAAAGAACTTTAATCAGTTTAATAGCTCTAGATATTACCAATTCCTACAAGAGCAACGCAGCTATATTCGCTGTTGCACGAATGAACAGGTCCGTCCGCGGAGTACCACATAAAAGACCGGCGTGAAGTGAAAGTGTTATACTTCTGCGTTATGTCCGGTGAGTAAGGTAGCCGAGACTCACTTTATTATAAGGTGACAACGCATCTCCAACCCTACGGGTGTTGCAAATGACAATTATTGTTTTAAAATAAGTACTTAATTGCTGTAAGTTTTCCTAATAAAATAAAATAACATAAATGGGCTGCGGATATCACTTAGCATCAGGTGAACCGCCAGCTTACTTGCCACATTTTCACTTACAAAAAAAAAAAAAACCTCTTTGAGAATAAAGTTAAATGCATAACAAAGAAAGGAAATGATTATACTTGGATCAATCATTCTTATTATCACACGGCAACTTCTGCTATTGCACGAAGGGGCCCTCAGCGAAGACCGTAAAGTGCAAGTGTTTACTTTCGCGTTTTGTCTGGTCAGTGAGGTAACCGAACCCATTTCATTAGAATATTTATTAGGTAACGTATTTACAACCTCTCAGGTGCTGTAGACATCCTTGGTATACCTTGGCGGTAATCGGTCGATATCAGGGGAACAAATTTTCACATAAAAGACAATAGAACTCTACCTTGTTGTCAATTCTTCGATGTTTTCACTTCCGTTACATAATTCGTTTTTTATGCACAAAAGTTTGTTCAAGATTCCTTGGTTCTTCGCTGCTTCGTCTCCTGCTATGCTATCGCAAACAGTTTTTATATCACCATAATGTTTGATAGCACTACTCGCTAGTAAATTTACGGCGGATGCCTTCAAAATAACTTTTAGTCTGAATTTATGAGGATGTCGTGGAGCTAAATTTCCGATGACTTTCGTTGTCTTTCCACCACTGAAATTTAATGTACAGATTAAAATAGCAGTTATTTCGTAACATTATACATTTATTAATGAGTCTGAATCGGGTCGAAATTATGTTCAGTAATATTTTAAACGTTTAATAAAATAAAAAGTGACGAATTCGTAAAGTGACATGGCTGGCTGACGGGCGAAGGCCACCTTTGTACTGAGGATGGCTCCACTGTGGATTGGCGGACTTTTCAAATCTTCGAAATAATTTTTTGTTATTTTTCGAAAATATGCAGGTTTCCTCACGATCTTTTCCTTGACCGCTAAACACGTGATAAGTGAGTACTTAAAATAGTACATAAGTACTCGAGTATATTGCATTAAAGGCGACCACCCGAAAACTGAGCTATCACTGAGATAAACTTAACCGGCCGTCATTATTACTGGAAATGGGAGGCAAAACAAAATACAATGAGTCTTGGTGCCAAGAGCGCCAGCTGCATTTCCTTGCTGAATTGTTATGCTTAATCTTTGAGCGACAAAAGAACCAGCCCTCTTATCACCAGCCCCGGCGAAGTCACGGACGTAAACTTGTCAATAGGTTCGACCTGCAGGGACCCCATGGACATAACGTTTAAACAACGAATGGCACTGAGAAATACATCGAGACTGAACATTAAGACTCATATTTGCTCTATACAGTATAAAATCATTAACTTGTGATCCTAACTTCCATGAATATTTTAGGAAGTTTTCAAAAATCTTTAAAAGGGTCTGTATTATAGCTAAGGCAGACTACTTGAGCAATAAAATAAAATTATCCGCAAACAAAGTTAAAACTACTTGGAAAGTGATAAATAAGGAAACTGGTAAAAATAATGAAAAAAAAGTGGATTTTACATTAAATGTACATGGCAAAGTTATAAAAGAAAATTATAAAGTTGCAAATGAGTTTCTAAATGTTTTCACAAATATACCTTTTGAAACTACTAGGCATTTGCAACACTGTCCCACAGAGGCAGCAACATATCTGGATAAACATGTTAATATTTCCATTCCAGATTTTAAGTTTTGCCACATAGGTCCGAATGATATTATTAAGACTTTTAAAAATTTAAATAAAAAGAAAACTGAAGACCTATGGGGCGTATCAATATGGGCATTAGATCTTATATCTGTGATATTGCTTGTTTATTAGCCCAAATATTTAATTTATGTTTAGATACTTGCAAATTTCCAAAATTAACGAAATGTAGCAAAATTGTGCCAGTTTATAAATCAGGCTCAAGAGAAAATTCCTCTAATTACCTACCCATTTCTATCTTACCAGCCTTAGGTAAAATATTTGAGAAAATCATGCTGGATCAGATGCTATTTCACTTTAATAAATATTAAAATCTTGAACCAGCATCAGTTCGGATTTACGAAAGGTAGATCTACAACTGATGCTGGAGTACAATTAATTTCGCATATTCTGCAGTCTTGGGAGACGTTCCATGACACCATTGGTGTGTTCTGTGACCTCTCCAAGGCATTTGACTGTGTAGATCATAAGATTCTTATTAAGAAATTGGAATATTATGGTATTCGAAAATCTGCCATTAATTTTGTTTCCTCATATCTTAGCGATCGGGAACAAAAAGTAATTATAAATGGTATACTGTCATCGGGATCAATAGTACAAATGGGTGTTCCTCAGGGATCGATCCTGGGCCCATTCCTGTTTTTAGTCTACATAAATGATTTGCCATATGTGGTAGAAAAAAGGTCTCAAATCGTTTTGTTTGCGGATGACACCTCACTGTTGTTTAAGGTTAATAGGAAAGATGTTACATTAGAGCAACCAAATGAAATACTAAGTGTCGTGTCGGGCTGGTTTGCGACCAATAATTTACTTTTGAACGCCACTAAGACTAAATGTATCAGATTTTCATTATCAAAGCTGTCTCACAAACCAGGAATCTTTATTGATGACAACATCCTACCTCTTGAGGATTCAACGGCATTCCTTGGAATATGCATTGACTCCAAGTTGCAATGGGGAGCGCATATAGATAAATTAGCTAAAAAGCTCAGCGCTGCCGTCTTTGCCATACGCAAGATCAGGTAACTAACAAACGAGGCAACAGCTAAATTAGTTTATTATGCTTACTTTCACAGTATTATGTCACAGTATTATGTTATGGTGTCTTACTTTGGGGTTCCGCATCCGGTTTAGACACGATATTTGTACTGCAAAAGCAAGCGATACGGGCTGTCTATGGCCTGGGTCCACGTGAGTCCCTTCGGCATATTTTTAAAAAGATAAACATCTTAACGCTCCCGTCGCTATACATACTTGAGAACATCATGTATGTACGAAATAACTTACACCATTTTACAAAAAAAACATATCACATCGCGTCGGGGCCGTGGTGACACGTTGGAAATACCGAGGTTTAGACTAGCTAAAACCAGGAAATCGTTTCTTGGTAGATGTATTAACTTATATAATAGAATAGGTGACATCCACAAACAATTAAGTTTAAATAATTTCAAACATTTTGTAAAAGCCACCTTAATGGAAAGGGCTTATTATAATGTCGAGGAATACATTGAGGACAAGGATGTGTGGAAATGACTCTTGCTCTGCACTTGTAAGTCCCCTGGCTCCTGCTAAATTATACTAAAATAATTGTGTGTGTATACTTAAATACTTAAAAAAAAATAGAAATAAAATATAAATATATGACCGCAGAGTTTCTTGCCGGTTCTTCTCTTGCAGGTCTAGTTTAGTGAACCGGTGGTAGTTTTTGACGTTCAATAAGAGCTTAAAATAAGCCTATGTTGAATAAAGACATTTTGACTTTGACTTTGCTGTTAACTGCCTCTAAAGCTACTCGACCCTGACTGAAGTATCAGTAGCTAGATGAGTGGCAGCCAAAGTGTCTACACAAGTAGAATCCCAAATCAAGAATCCAAAGGACTCGCCAGGGATCAAAGCAAAATGCAACAGGGCTCTGAAATAGAAGAAACGTTGAAGAAAACAAGAGTCCTTTGGATGATGTCGTTGAGGTAACGGTGCCTTAACTTAAGATTCTGGAGGTATGTTAATTATTTATTCAAGTCGTTCTCATTCCACGTCTACATCAGATTTTCATAAGTACACGGATTTGCGTCAAATCTAGACTTACCTATAAACAATAACCCAAGGAGGAATTTTCTCCCGCTTCTCCACCTTGTACAACAATTGGTTTCCAAGGAAACCAAAGGGCGCCCCAAGTTGCCAGTCGAGCGTGATAGTGTCTCTGCTTCTGTTAAATACCTCCGGTGCAGGTGGTTTCCAATTTATAAATTTTTCACAGAGTAACTTTGTTAGGTCCATTTCGGTAAAGAGAAAATATTAAAGAAATGAGATTGTTTGACCCTGACGGATGATATTCACGTTTCACTCAGCTTATATAATCCCAAAGACTACAGGTGAAACGATTGTGGCGTCACACCAGTTACAATATATAATTTTCGGTCATCTAATTTACTGGGATTGTTACTTATAATCATAAAAATGAAGAATTGCTTATCAAACCAACTGAACCCAACCTTACCCATCTCGGTATCCATTGGCGACGTGGTTCGATCGATCCAACTACGATACTTTGCTGTCGTTACATAAAAGCTTAGCTGCGTGTAAAGACTCGATGGTGGATTTCTTAGTTTGTATATGGGATACTATTAGATTTTAACTCTATATAAGCTTCCCAATAACAAATGGACCATTATTATGAGGATCTCTTTAGAATTATCCTTAAAATAAATATTGAATTCCTTTTTATAAATGCTCTTAATTCTACGCGATCTTTAGGTTACATAGATATATTTCCACATAGCAAAACCGTGATGTTGTTATCGCGCCTCATAAAAATGTAAGAGAGCGATGAGAACTCTTCACGGTCAAATTAATATTCAACAAAAAACTTTTTCCAATTGAAGTTAATGTTTAGTGCTAAACTTTTTAGTATGAAATAAAGTGCTGACATGAAATTCGAAGTTCCAAAGGCAAGGAAATTTTGGACTCAAATCACGTACTCGCGTTGATACACAACTTTACCGAGTTGATGTTCACGAAGTTCGAGCATTAAAAGTTTAAGGTTACTATATCGTTCCTTTAGAATCAATACTGAAACCGGCCTTTTATGCAATAATTTCTTTTTTCGACCCAATTGGCATGTTTTTATTTACATTATAAGGTGCCAATGTAAATAATGTGGACAAAGTTATGTGTTGCTTTTAATATTTGTGTATTGTGAAGTTTAAATCGTCTGTTAATTTTTAGAAATGTGTGAATTCTTCTTGTAATTATTTTATTTGATCGTGAAAAGTTGGTAAACTCCCCTGGATATCTACGAAACCAGAGGTGTTGAAAATGCGTTGCCAATCATAAAAATATATAATACTTTCAGTTCACGCCGGTTTAATGTGAGATATGGTGCCTATCCGTCAATATCTGAGAAATGTACTTAAAATATTGGCTACGCATATAAAAAAAAATTGTGCTTAGAGGGTTGTAACGTTTCTATATTGGATGGTGTAGTTAATGATGGGGAGATTTAATAAAAGATTTACTAGCAGTTAAGAAGTTGTATTCATCCCTCCAGTTTAAAGTTACAATCCCTGGACTAGCTCAGATACAATATATTTTCAAAATATAACAATAATAATGAGTTGGGCGCCTTGTCTGTTAGGAACAGACTGTTGTAATAAATACAATTAAGTATCTCAGGGAGTCGTGAGTACATAGGACCTACACATTACTTTGTGCGACCATAAAAGGTTAAATAATTAAATTAATTTGAGATGGTAAAACTTATGCAATTCAATTTAAAAACTAAGTCCAATCAGGTAGTTATTTAAAATCCATGTCACCGCAGAGACATCTGCCCTGTGTGCACAGGTCAGCGTTGAGCTCAGAACCAGTAGATAAAGTCAGGCCAAGTGTAGTGTGTACAGCCACACTGTTGGGGGGTATGTAGGAGAACTCCTGCCAACAAACATTACATTGTAGAACTAACAAAGGCAGGGATTTAAATCCACCTACAATTATAAGATGTGAAAAACTTACCAACCGGAGGTAAAAAACACTATTTAATCGAGCACCGGCTCAGACCAGCTTGCCAACCACCTATGCCTTCAGCATCCACCTGTGATATTCGAAAAACCATACTTAGAAACACGAGACAATAAATTCTCAACCTACCTTCATGTGAATTTCTAAATACATTCTCAATGCAAGTCTTTTACAATTTTAGTAGGAAACCAGTGAAAATAACAGAGGATCTTACCACGAGGGATAACAAATCCAGCACAGAGTTTCCCAGACAGCAATCACAAATAATACGACCAGGAACGTGTTTTGATTTCAACCTCTAGCTATGCACTGTAAAAAAAAGCGAATTGATAAGAAAACGAAATACGTAAACAAAACAACCACTGGCATGAACTAAACCAAGTAACTACTTACAAGTCGATGATAATGGATCCACAAAAACTAATTTATCCAATGTCAATTCGAACCGGCGGCAATCTCAAATGACAAGTACGACCAAATGAAGTTAACTTTTACATTCGTCCTTTCGAACAGGCAAAGGTTCATATGACATGCAGCCTAGTCTTTAGAAAAACGACAATTTAGACAAAGTGATGAAATCACACGTTACAGGGTAGAATCCTTATGCATATTAAATCATGTATGCCAATTCTGCAGAGGCAAGCTATTCGGTAAACTAAACTTGGCCGAAAAAAATTATCGTAAATATTCTGTTTTTTAGGGAGTAGAATGGGAATTTTTATGAAAAAAAAAAAGTTTGTTTTTATTACAATAAACGATAATACTACCGAGTCTGAACCTCCTGTGTAAATTTGGGCACCTTTAAAAAGTCTCCCTGTATAATAGCGCTTTGTTTAAATAAACAGAAACGCTTTAACGCTTGGCTAATATAAGCAGAATAGATTGAGAGCATCCCAGAAGTCGTTAAATGCTTGAAAACTTCAATTAGGCCACAGTTGAAACGATGTAAGAAGCCTTAGATTACCGAAAACTACATGCGGCAGCAAACACGTCCGGTGGACATAGTCCGGTAGAATTCTAACTGGTGTGTAAGCACAGTAAAAATATAAGTCAAATAGCTTACTTAAGTTCGAAAAAAGGCTATTTGGTTTGGAAGTAATCGTTATACATTCAGATGGTATTGCTATTTATATCCTATTGTTTCCAATATACTCATGGAAGACTTTGAAGAGAATGCTCTTTAAAGAACCGCCATTCCCAGTAGGTATGTAGATAACACCTTCACAATTTTACCATCAAGTGTTAATGTATTTTTTGATCACCTTAATGTTCGAGAATTTCAGAAAAGCGACTCTTCAGCTTTCTTAGTTATTGCATTTACTTGCAATACCAAACTTTACCTTATAAATGTGATAGTCTAAATTGCTATTTGCTTATTTCTACAGACAACATCACATAATAGATTAATAATTAGATTGTAGAGCTAGTCCTGGTTTTTGTGTCAAGCTATGTGAAGAGTGCCACAAATGTCTATCGCATTTTTATTAAGATTTGCCATAACGCCAAATAAAAATACGAGTAATTCGTAACGGTTTCTTACTTTCTTTTATGAGATGGCACTCATTCATATAAAAGCCAAAAATCCAATATTCGTCATAGCGGGGAACGAAAGAAATTTTGCGAATTCGTACGGTGCAAATTAATAAATTTTTGTAGGTAGCGCTATAAATACCGGTGCTATGTTCTGAGCCTCCGATATTGCCACTCACTTCGTTTAATATTGCCAAAATTTAGTCAACCTTATACTATTGTGAACCGCCCTACCGCCTTCTACAAAATGGTGATGAGATTAGGCCTATGTAACGTATTTGAAACGTATAGCACATAATACTTTTAATAATAGTCGTCAACCATTCAGGTTTCATAAAATTGCATTATAAGTACCAACAGCAAGATCTATCATTAATAAAAGTGATATATCATTGTGAGTAATAAATAAAGTAAAACTCCATTCATGCATAATTTATTAAGTGCTGAGAGCTTGTTTTATATCACGTGCAGAAAATTGGGGCATTTGTTATCACATCGTGTCGGGCATTTTATCGTTTATAAAAATGACATGTCCTTACGAAGTTTTTTTAAATATTTTAATTTATAATACTAATCAATGTAAAGTGTGAAGCATGACATCATAATAAATTGTGTAATTATAGCACGAGATTTTATTTTCTCTAATTATGACAAGACATAATTTGATTGCGGTATTTTCCAGAAACAAATTTCAATATTCAGCCAGGAATTAGCCTTATAAAACAAGGATAAGAACCTTCTTATCCTTGTTTTTAAGGCTTTCCTCTTTCTATCACGTATTCAGTATCCAACATAAAATACGCTTACCTCGCTCTTCGCCGAGATAGCTCAGTGCCCGGGCGCTCGCCTTTATTTCAATATACTCGAGCAACGTGAGTTCGATCCCCGGTGCCGGCACCAATGAAGTTTTAACTTTAAGTGCTGACTTATAACGTGCTATTTTCGTGCATATTTTCGAAAAAATAACAAAAAAAATATTTTTCGAAGACATGTGAAGTCCGCCAATCCGCAGTGGGGCCGCGTAGTGGACTATGCCCTGATACTCTCTGTATAGAGGAGGCCTTTGCCCAGCAGTGAGACATGTATAGGCTGTTACTTTACTTTTTTACTTTACCTCGGTCTTTGGTACAAATATCAGTGGCGGCAAATTGTTTTTTTTTTATGGAAAGTTGCTAAGCGAGCAGACGGTTCACCTGATGTTAAGAGAATACCGCCGCCTATGGACATCGGCTACACACGAGGGTTGCAAATGCGTTGACAACCTTTTAAAAATTGGGCTCCGGCCACCTCTCTCACCAGACGAAACGCGAAAGTATTATACTTCTACTTTACGCCGGTTTTCTGTGAGGTCGTGGTATTTACCCGGAGGAGCCTGCCTATTCGTGCAATAACCGAGGCTGCTGCGTGGCCCTACCACCGTAGTTTCTAGTTTTCGCGCGTACAAATATCGCAGTCTCACGTTGTCCAGTATCCCTTGCATAAAATAGTTTGTATCTGGCTATATCAATCTCTGTAGACAGGAATGAATTTATTTCAATATTTTTCTATTTACGAATTTTACATTAAAGCCTCTGAAGCTGTCACGACTTTTAATTACTTGTGCACTGTACATTTCACTAAATCAGGTCCCAAATACGATAGGTGTAGTGCCAGGGTAGCATATGAGATAATGAATTATACGCTTAAAATTTTATCGCGTTATGTTGGGTACATTTTAAGCAAAAAAAGGA